CAATCCACACTTTTGCTGTCCCCCCACCCCTCCTGTGTCCTTCAATGCTCCGCACACAGCCTGAGTCCAGGCCAGGCATTCATTGTAGCCACTTTTTTGCATGAATGTATTCTATTTATTCAGCAAATATTTGTTGTACACCAGTTATGGGTCGGACATTCCTCGTCCTTGTGGAGCTTATGTTTTGTTGGTGGGAGACAAACAATGTAAACAAGTAAGTAAACTGTATTATGTACTAGAGCAGCGGTTTTCAACGGGGCAATTTTGCCACCAGTGGGACCTTTGGCAATGACTGGAGACATGTCCATTGCCACTGCAGGGGGAGGGTGCTATTGGTATCTGTTGGTAGAAGCCAGGATGCTGCTGAACATCCCACTGTGCACAGGCAGTCCCCAAACACAAAGAATTATCCGGCCCCCAAGTCACTGCGGCCTAAGTTGAGAAACCTGCTCCAGAGATGTTACTGACTTTGAGAAAAACAAAAACAAAACAAGGCTGAAATCGGTTTGGCTCAGTGGATAGAGCGTCGGCCTGAGGACTGAAGGGTCCCAGGTTCGATTCTGGTCAAGGGCATGTACCTTGGTTGCAGGCACATCCCCTGTAGAGGTTGTGCAGGAGGCAGCTGATTGATGTTTCTCTCTCATTGATGTTTCTAACTCTCTATCCCTCTCTCTTTCTCTCTGTAAAAAATCAATATATATATATTTACACACACACACACACACACACACACACACACACAAATAGAGTGGGGTGGTAGGATGGAAAGAGGAACTTGGGTTGGAGACTGAGTTTAAGTAGGTCTAGTCAGGGTTGGGTCGGTTTCATTGAGAAGGTGACATTTGAGCAAAAGTGTGAAGAAGGGAGGGAGGAAGACCAACGAGGCCTCCTATTTCGTTGAGAGAATTCAAGTACTCCTCACATGTGCCAGTGTCCCCTGGCCGCGCTCCTAGCAAAGGCCCAACCTCTCACTCAGGAGCTCCCTCCATCGTTCAAGGCCATCAGTGCAGCAATGTTCTCCTATTAAACAACAGCACATCGAGCATTTGAGTTCTTGCTCTCCAGCATATGTTGTTAGTTTGGTCTAAATAAACCCTGATTTTTTTTAAAGGCACCAGCACCAACAACACCTTATAATTTACCCTCTTACCCTCCCCACAACTGCCATCTTATTTTTCTCCTTCCCTTTGCTGCAAAGCTCCCTGACAGAATTGTATATTATCCCTGTCTCCAATTTTTTCCCCTCCAATATTTATTTATTTATTTATTTATTTATTTATTTATTGAGAGATCCATTTTGTTGTTCCACTTATTTATGCATTCATTGGTTGATTGGTTGTTTTGTTTTTTAAATATATACTTTATTGATTTTTTTACAGAGAGGAAGAGAGAGGGACAGAGAGTTAGAAACATCAATGAGAGAGAAACATCCATCAGCTGCCTCCTACACACTCCCTACTTGGGATGTGCCCGCAACCAGAGTACATGCCCTTGACCGGAATCAAACCTGGGACCCTTCGGTCCTCAGGCTGACGCTCTATCTACTGAGCCACACCGGTTTTGGCGGTTGGCTTGTTTTTGAGAGAGACATTGATCAGCAGTACCACTCATTCATGCCTTCACTGACAAGGAACAGAACCTGCAACCTTGGTGCATTGGGACAATACTCAACTGAGCTAACTGGCCAGGGCCATCGGTTTACTCTTTTTACTTTTGATTTTCTTTTTAAATTGATTTTAGAAAGAGAGAGAGGAAGGGAAAAGGGGAGAGAGAGAGAGAGAGAGAGAAACATAGATGTGAGAGAGAACCATCCATCTGTTGCCTCCTACATGTCCCCTTTTGGGGAATGAGCCTGAAACCTGAGCATATGCCCTAACTGGGAATCAAACCAGAAACGTCTTGGTGCATGGGACAACGCTCAGCCAACTGAGCCACACTGGCCAGGACTGGTTGATTCTAGTATGTGCCTTGATTGGGGATCAAACCCAAAACCTTGGCATACTCAGGATGCTCTAACTAACTGAGCTACTTGGCCAGGGCCCTCCCATTTTTCATGAGCCCAAGAACTTCGGGCTCTTTCTTCTTACTGGGGTCACCAAAAGGTCCCACAGAGCTAAATCCAGTCCGTCCTCCTTGGCGCTCAGCTTGCTGACCTGAGAGCAGCATCTGACACTATTCATAGGCTCGGCTCCAATCCGGTCTTCTTTCACACCAGACGCTCCTCTGGGGTTCCTCCCATTTCTCTGGCTGACCCCGTCCAGTCTCCCAACCTCAGCAGAAGGAGAAACCAGAACTCAGCACTTGGTGAGTTCATCTCCACATACCTTTCACCAGCTTCGCCTAATGTCAATATTGTACACAACCACACACCTTTGTCAAAACCAATTGATGAAAATTACGAATGAAGCTACAGACTTTGTTTGAATTTCACAAGTAGAGCAAGCTCCGAGGTGCCCAAGACTTGATTGTGTTTTCTTTAATTTTTTTTAAGTTATATGTTCTTTTTTTTTTTAATATATGTTATTGATTTTGTACAGAGAGGAAGGGAGAGAGATAGAGAGTTAGAAACATCGATGAGAGAGAGTCATTGATCAGTTGCCTCTTGCACACTCCCTACTGGGGATATGCCCGCAACCAAGGTACATGCCCTTGACCGGAATCGAACCCGGGTCCCTTCAGTCCCCAAGCCGACGCTCTATCCATTGAGCCAAACCGGTTTTGGCTGTTTTCTTTAATTTTAAATAAAATAAAAACAAAATCCCTCGTGTCGAGGGCTGACTTTCAATAGATCGCTGCGAGGAAACTGCTCAGCTACATGTGAAATCCCGCCCAGAAACAAATGGTCTACAAATGGCTTATTCCCAGGTTCCCCACAAATGTGCATTGTGTAAAGTGTGAGGGGTGGGTTGGTTTTAAAACTGAAAGTTGTGCCCTAGCCAGCTTGGCTGAGTGGATAGAGTATTGGCCTGCGGACTGAAGGGTCTCAGATTTGATTCCCACCAAGGGCACATGCCTGGGTTTCAGGCTTGATCGCCAATAAGGGGCGTGCAGGAGGCAGCCGATCAATGATTCTCATTGTTGATGTTTCTATCTCTCTTCCTCCTTCTCCATTCCTCTCTAAAATCAATAAAGAAATATATAAAAACAAAACAAAACTGAAAATTGCATATGCCCCTAGTCCCCTCAGTCCTGGGCAGATTAGGACAGTCAGTCGCCCTATTCACCAGCTTTTCCATTACTGTCCTTTTTCCGTTCCAGGATTCAGTTCGCCATATTGCATTTAGTGGTCCTGTCTCTTTAATCTTTTCTAATCTGCAACAGTTTCTTAGTCTTTCCTTGTCTTTCATGACCTTGACACTTTTGAGAAGAACTGGACAGGTATTTTGTTGAATGTCCCTCAGTTTTGGTTTGGTTTGCCAGAATGTTTTCTCATGATCAAACTAGGCTTATGGATTTTAGTCGGGTTTTTTGTTGTTAATCCTCACCTGAGGATATTTTCTCCACTGATTTTAGAGAGTGTGGAAAGGAGGGAAGGGGGGGAGGTGGGAGTGGGGGAAAGGAGAGAGAGACAGAGACAGAGAGAGACATGGATGTGAGAGAGACATCAATTGATTGCCTTCTGCAGGTGCCCTGACTGGAGCTGGGGATCAAACCTGCTACCAAGGTATGTGTCCTTGACCAGAAATCGAATCTGTGACCCTGCAGTACAAAGTTTAACTAGGGAGCTACACTGGCCAGGGCTAGGCTTATGGATTTTGAAGAAGAAAAGCCACAGAGGTGAAGTAGGGCAGAAATTTGATCTGCTTTATTCACTGTTTCATATCCAGTGCCTAGAACTGAGTGCCTGGCTCATTATAGGCACCAACAATCTGTATGTGGGATGACTAAGGGTATGAATGAATGTCTCTGTGTAAGTTATTTAGGACTGTTTTGAAGGTTTACAATGTGAACTTGAGTACTAGCCTATCAAACATGTTGTACTGCAGTACTTTTTTCCTTCAACGATGTGTCCTGGGGAGCCATTTCAGGACGCATGGAGCTACTTCATTTTTCTAACTTTTACCCTATTACAAAGACCTGCAATGGCTCTGCAGATGAATGCTCCGCTGTGCTTGTCTCACGGCCAGACCTGGGGAAGAATTGCTGGGCGCGGAGGAGGCCCTGGCGTGTGGATGGACGCCGAGGGAAGTCCAGCTGACGCAGCTGAACACCTCGACGCCCCAGCAGCGCTTGGACGCACCCTTTCCCCCTCGGGATCAGTCACTAAGGCGCAGCGGACCGCCGCGGTGCCCGGACCACATCTCCCAGGATGCCCCGCGGCCTCGGCTACCTGGTGGCGGAGCCGGAGTGGCCAATCCCGGAGGAGCTCGGGAAGGCGGCGCCCCCTCCGCCCCTCACCTACCTCAGGGGCACCGGAGCGGCGACTACCACTCCCAGAAGCCCCGGTGGGCCGGCGCCGCTGGCCACCATTTCCAGGCCCGGCGGCGGCGCGGTGGGAGAGGGCCGATCCCCCTTCCCGGCAGGCAGCGCGGCGAGGGCGGACTCCATTTCCCAGCAGGCTCCAGGCGGCGGCCCGCGGCGCCTTGTGTGGGATGTAAGCGCGGAGGTGGGCGCGGGGGAGTGCGGCCCGGGCTCTGCTTGGGGTTTGGGGGCCTGGCCCGGGGGGGCCTTCGGAGGGGCTCCAGGGCCCGGGGGAACGGCTGCGGAGGGGGCCTGGGGCGGCCATCGGCGGTCCTCAGCGGGGCTCTGGGGCGCACCCCCATCGGGGCCGGGGCTGTGGGCTGTGGGGACGGGCAGGCCCTGCAGCCTTGGCTGAGGGGTCTCACGCGAGAGCGAGGAGCGGAGGCGAGGGGCGGGGCAGGGGGGGTGGGAGTGGGAGTGGGAGGGGCGTCTGCAGGGGGGGGGGGTTGGAGCCTCAGAGGAGCCTGGGCCGGGCCCCCTGGCCGAGCCCGCCGACCCCTCGCCCCTCCCGGCTCGCCCGCAGGCCGCGGCCTGCCGCCATGGGGCTGAAGGCCGCCCAGAAGACGCTGTTCCCGCTGCGCTCCATCGACGACGTGGTGCGCCTGTTCGCGGCCGAGCTGGGCCGAGAGGAGCCGGACCTGGTGCTCCTGTCCCTGGTGCTGGGCTTCGTGGAGCATTTCCTGGCCGTCAACCGCGTCATCCCCACCAACGTGCCCGAGCTCACCTTCCAGCCCAGCCCCGCGCCCGACCCCCCCGGCGGCCTCACCTACTTCCCGGTGGCCGACCTGTCCATCATCGCCGCGCTCTACGCCCGCTTCACCGCCCAGATCCGAGGCGCCGTCGACCTGTCCCTGTACCCCCGGGAGGGGGGCGTCTCCAGCCGCGAGCTGGTGAAAAAGGTCTCCGACGTCATCTGGAACAGCCTCAGCCGCTCCTACTTCAAGGACCGGGCCCACATCCAGTCCCTCTTCAGCTTCATCACAGGTGGGAGCCCCAAGGTGGCAGGGGCGAGCATCCTGCCCCCTCTGACAGCGCGGCCACCTCTTCACAATGCGTGGCCTACAGAGCCCGTGGAGACCTATAAGCCTCGAGAGGTGGGGCAGGTGCGAACCTCCCTTTCCCAGAGGGAGACTGGGGAAGCGAGGTGCCAAAGTCACACAAAGTGGCAAGACAAGGACGAGACCCCAATCACGTGGCTCCAGATCCATTCACCACCCTTTGCCCCCTCAGCACCCCCGTCCCTGCCATTGAGCAACCAGAGGAGTCCTACACCCCAGCCCGAGGCACAGGGGCAGCAGCAGATTGTGGGGGGGGGGGGTGGAGTTTGAGCCAACTAAGTGAAGTGTCTATGGAAATGGTGGCTTAAGGCTCAGGGTTTGCAAAGATCTTCCTTTGCTCCAGCCCAGTCGACTAGCCATCACGTCCTGGAGGGCCACACTGAGAAGGAATCAGAGGTTGCCTCTGAGCTTAGCAGGAAAGGAGTGTAGAGATGAGTTAGGAGTAGTTGCTGGGGTGTGTGTGTGTGTGTGTGTGTGTGTGTAAAAAGAGGACTTAGTCTCTTGGTCCTGTTTTTGCCTATTCTGCTGTCACCTGATAGACTCCATAAAAGGAGGAAATTCTTTAACCTAAACCTGTAACATGGTTGCAGAGAAAGAAGTGACAGGGTCCAAGGCTGGGTGGAACTGGGAAGATCCAAGAAGGTCTGTTGGGAGATGTAAAAGGGGAGGGTGAGGCTTGGAACAAGAGGAGGAAGGGGATGGAGGAGTGAGGGAGGAGGGTCTGGGGTTTGGGGAGGGCTGGGAGGCGAGGGGGGGAGGGCTGGGTGGTGAGGGGGGGAGGGCTTGGAGGTAGGGGGGAGTGCTGGGAGGTGAGGGGAGGGAACATGGCCATCCCTGCCTGGCCTCCTTCCTCCAGGCCAGACCTCAGACCTCTCATTGCCTCCCCTCCCACAGGCACCAAACTGGACAGCTCCGGTGTGGCCTTCGCCGTGGTGGGGGCCTGCCAGGCCCTGGGTCTCCGGGACGTCCACCTGGCCCTGTCTGAGGACCACGCCTGGGTCGTGTTTGGGCCCAATGGAGAGCAGACCGCTGAGGTCACCTGGCATGGCAAGGGCAATGAGGACCGAAGGGGCCAGACCGTCAACGCGGGTGTGGCTGAGCGGGTACTGCCCCCCCATCCCTTCACACTCCCAGCCCCAGCCCCCCAGGGGCTGTGCTTTCCTGAGCCACACTCCCTGCTCCTTGTCACCACCTGAGTGTCAGGAAGGGGACACGGAAGGGCCCCTTCCTGACTGCCATTCCCTGGAGCAGGCACAGGGTCATTGCGGCCATCTGGTCTTATCCTCCCCCAGAGCTGGCTGTACCTGAAAGGATCGTACATGCGCTGTGACCGCAAGATGGAGGTGGCGTTCATGGTGTGCGCCATCAACCCTTCCATCGACCTGCACACGGACTCCCTGGAGCTGCTGCAGCTGCAACAGGTACGTGCCCGTGGGTCCTGGCAGCTGCGGCAGGGGAGGTGTGCCTGTGTGCCCGTGGGCCCTGGCAACTGTGGCAGGGGAGGTGTGGCCGTGGGGCCCTGGGACCCTGGCAGGGCACTTTTCCTCCCCCCCTTTTTTTTTTTTTGGTTAATCCTCACATGAGGATATTTCTCCATTGATTTTTAGAGAGATGGAAGGGTGGGGGAGGGACAGAGAGAGACATGATGTGCAAGAGACACATGGATTGGTTGCCTCCCTTACTCACCTTGATCAGGGCCAGGGAGTGAGTCTGCAGCCGAGGTACGTGCCTTTGACTGGAATTGAACCAGAGACCCTTCAATCTATAGACCGACACTCTATCCACTGAGCAACACTGGCTGGGGCTCAACTTCCCCTTTTGCAGCATGGTTCACAGTTCCTGGCCCCGTGTTTCCCAGGGCTCTGGGAGGGTGGTGTTAAGACAGGAAAGGACGTTGACTCCAGTAAGGAGCTGGTTTCTAAATTTTGGCCCTTCCTATCCAGTGGGAGGTCCCTGGGTCCCTGCTGGTGGTGGACCCCACTTTGCCTGGTAGACTGAGGACTTCTCTCACACACACACACACACACACACACGCACACACCCCTCTTATTTCTCTCTTTTGGCCTCTAGAAACTCCTCTGGCTGCTCTATGACCTGGGCCATCTGGAAAGGTCAGTAGGGGGAAGTGGCCAGGCCGGGCCTTCGGGGCTGAGTGGCTGGGTGGCAGCCTGGGCTCATGGGCTTTTCCTAGGTACCCCATGGCGCTGGGCAACCTGGCAGATCTGGAGGAGCTGGAGCCCACCCCTGGCCGGCCAGACCCACTCTCCCTGTACCACAAGGTGGGGGTTCCCAGGGTCCAGAGGGGAGAACCAGTAGTGGCTGGGTTCCCTTCTCCCTGGGAACTGGGGGGGCACATGAGAGAAGAGCTTCCTGTGTGTTTGCCATGTACCTATCAGCGCTGTCTGCCTCACACTGCCCTCCTGGCGTGTACCAGATGTCAGGTGTGGGGCGCTGAGGGGGGTGTTAACTTGGTGGGAGGGAGGTGGGAGGGACATTGGGCTGGGCCTGGGAGGCTTTGGTGTCTGTGTGGGAGTGTGTGGGACAGACCCCTCCCCTCCCCTAGGCCTGGTTCAGGCCTCACCAAGCAGCCCTGCAGCCATGGGTGGAGCAGTTGGCAGAGCGATGGCAGGGGGAGATGGGGCTCTGGGATCTTGTGTTTCGCATTCTGGCTGTGATCGGCGGGACAATCCTGCCAGAGGGGCCGGCTGGGGCTCCTCCCTGAGGCCTGTGCTCTCTCCCTAGGGCATCGCCTCCGCCAAGACCTACTACCGGGACGAGCACATCTACCCCTACATGTACCTGGCCGGCTACCACTGCCGCAACCGCAACGTTCGTGAGGCCCTGCAGGCCTGGGCCGACACGGCCACTGTCATCCAGGAGTGAGGACCCTTCGCCCCACCCCCACTAGGACCTTAGTCCATCCTTCCTTCCTCTTTCACCCACCGTCCAACCATACTGACCCAGGAGTGAGGCCTGGGTCCCAGCCCATCCTTCCCGCTAGTCTGGGCAGCCAAGGCCACACCCCCAGGAGGTAGGGATTCCTATGAGAGCCTCACGCCTCTCCCTCCCCTCTCCTCACTGCCAACCCCAGCATCCAGCAGTAAACCCTGCCCGCTCCTCCCTCTGGCTCTGGGCTGGCACAGATATGGTTTTGGAGCGAGGACCCACACTCACCCAGGCCCTCGGTGATCCAAGCAAAAGAAACCTGGGCTCCGTCCCCACCAGGTCCCTGGGGGCTCCCGCCTGGCGGAGGCCCCACGTGCCCTCCTGCCCTCGCAGCTACAACTACTGCCGGGAGGACGAGGAAATCTACAAGGAGTTCTTCGAAGTCGCCAATGACGTCATCCCCAACCTGCTGAAGGAGGCGGCCAGCCTGCTGGAGGCGGGCGAGGAGCGGCCCGGGGAGCAGGCCCAGGTGAGGCTCCCTGGGCTCAGCCACAGGACACGGGACTGCCGCCCCCGGCGGGGCTGAGCGAGGTGGCCAGCACACAGCAGCCAGGGTCTGAGGGAGCTGGGGGGATTTTAGGGGTTTCTGCCTATTCCCTCAGGTAGATGGGTAACGCCCATCTCTTTCATGGCCAAGACTGCTTATTCCGTGGAGGGGGTGGGATGGAGGTAAGGGCTGGTTCCCTCTTTTCTCCGGGACCTGGCTCAGAACTGGTTTCATACAAGGAAGGCGGTTCTGAGAGTTCCCCCTTTCTCACTCAGATGAGCGGCTCGGCCCAGCCCTCTGATGGAGCCCTCTCTCCCCCTTGCCCAGGGCACCCAGAGCCAGGGGTCCGCCCTCCAGGACCCAGAGTGCTTCGCGCATCTGCTTCGGTTCTACGATGGCATCTGCAAATGGGAAGAAGGCAGCCCCACGCCGGTGCTGCACGTGGGCTGGGCCACCTTCCTGGTGCAGTCCCTGGGGCGCTTCGAAGGACAGGTGAGGGCAGCCGGGCAGGTCTGAGGACGGGTGGTGACGGCGGCACAGCAGCCGGAGCCTGGGCGGCCCTGAAGGGTCTGCTCATCCTCTCTGCTGTCCGAGGCGGGTCCTGGGGATCCAGCCGTCGGTTGCAACCTGGCCCCCAGCTTGCTCTCCCTCTCGGGCCAGGTGCGGCAGAAGGTGCGGATCGTGAGCCGGGAGTCAGAGGCAGCTGAGACCGAGGAGCCCTGGGGCGAGGAAGCCCGGGAAGGCCGGCGGCGAGGCCCGCGGCGGGAGTCCAAGCCCGAGGAGCCCCCGCCGCCCAAGAAGCCGGCGCTGGACAAGGGCCCGGGCGCGGGGCAGGGCCTGGCACCAGGACCCCCCCGGAAGCCCCCGGGGACGGTCCTGAGCAGTGCCCGCGGCCCCGAAGGCGGCAGCGCGGCTCCAGCGCCTGCGCCGTCCGCGTCGCCGCCCCCAGAGGGCCCGGTGCTCACTTTCCAGAGCGAGAAGATGAAGGGCATGAAGGAGCTGCTGGTGGCCACCAAGATCAACTCGAGCGCCATCAAGCTGCAGCTCACCGCGCAGTCGCAGGTGCAGATGAAGAAGCAGAAGGTGTCCACGCCCAGCGACTACACGCTGTCCTTCCTGAAGCGGCAGCGCAAGGGCCTCTGAGCTGCACCCCGGCTCCCCGCCCGCCCGCCCGCGGAGCCAGTCCTGAGGCCCCGCCCCCGCAGAGGCCCCGCCCAGCTCCCCGCCCCAGCCAATGGGGCCCAGGCCCGGCCTCCGGGCCCCGCCCCACCCGGAACTGAGGCTCGGCCGGGACCGGAGTCAGACTCTCCCCCGCGCTCGGCATCGGAACGTAGAGCCCGAGCCCAGCCTCCCCGCTGGCGATGGAAGCCTCGCCGGGACCCCATAAAGGCCCGGCCCCGGGGACTCGGCCCCACAGACCGAGGTTCCCCCCGCGGCCGGACCAGGGCTGCCCCGGGCGCGCTCAGCCCGGGGCTGCTGTTTCTCCCGCAGGTCCCGCCTCCAGCCCGGGACCCGGGACCGGCTCGGAGAGCATTTCCCACCTCAGAATTATGTCCCTCGGGAACCCAAGCCCCCAACCCAAAGAATGAAAAAGGGGCGCTTCCAGAATTTGGAAATCCCAGCTTCCTCCCCTTCCGATCCCATGAGTCCGGTGCGAAGCCCCTCCAGCCCGTGCGAACCCTGAGCTCCGGCCCCCCTGACCACTGGCTCCCGATCAGAGCAGACTCCGCCCTCCGGGCACCCCAGGCCCCGCCGCCGGGGCTTAGGAGGACTGCGCGGGGGCTTGCCTGATCTCCGTTTTGTACATAGATTTATTTTTCAGTTCCAAGGAAGATGAATACATTTTGTTAAAAAAAAACAAAAAACTTGTCTGTTTTATTGGGAGTTTGGGGTGGGAGCGGAGTGCCCCTCCCCTCTGCCCTCGGGCTCGCCTCCCCTAGGGCTGGGCCCCGGCGGCTCCGCGGGGCCCGGGGCTTCCCCTTCCTGCCCAGGGCCTGTCCCGCGGGCGCCTCCTCCCGGCCGGGCGGCGGGGCATCCCCGGCCTGTCCCCGCCCCGGCCCCGCCCCGACCCAGCGGCCTCCGAGCCACCGGCGCCCGCCCCGCCCCGCGCCGCGCCGCCCGCGCCGGCTCCGGCTCCGCAGCTCGTCCTCCCGCCGCCGGCCGGCGGCGCGGGCCATGGCGCTGCTGCGGGACGTGTCGCTGCAGGACCCGCGGGACCGCTTCGAGCTGCTGCAGCGCGTGGGCTCCGGCACCTACGGCGACGTCTACAAGGTGCGCCGGCGGCCGGGCTGCGGGGGGCGCGGAGGCGGCCGCTCCGAGCCCCGCGCCGCGCGGGACCGGCCCAGCCCCGCCCCCCATCCCGCGCTGCTCTGTCCCCGCAGGCCCGCGACACCGCCACGTCCGAGCTGGCCGCGGTGAAGATCGTGAAGCTGGACCCAGGTGAGCCGGCCGGGCCTCCGGAGGCGGAGGAGGGGCAGGAGCCGGCGCCGGGTGCGGGCGGGCGGAGAGTGGACACTTCGGAGGCCCCCTGGGCGGGTCCCCGGGAGGCGGTGTCCCCTGCCCCGGTCTGGCCGGAGGGGGCGGAGCCCAGAGGTGCTTGGGAGACGAGGGCGCCGAGTGAGGGCGCTCCCGCTGGGCTCCCCCCCACCCACCCCACCATGCCCTGTGCTCCCCAGGGGACGACATCAGCTCCCTCCAGCAGGAAATCACTATCCTCCGGGAGTGCCACCACCCCAACGTGGTGGCCTACATTGGCAGCTATCTCAGGTGAGGCTGCTTCCCCTGCCCGCCCCCCGCAGCCCCATGTGCCCCGCCGTGTGCCCACCCGGCGCCGTGTCCCCCCAGGAATGACCGCCTGTGGATCTGCATGGAGTTCTGCGGAGGGGGGTCCCTGCAGGAGATTTACCACGGTGAGCCCAGGGCCAGGCCCCCAGGGCCACGGGCTGCTGCTGCTGCTTCTCTTCCAGTCTGCTGCCCACCCGCCACCCCAACATGTGGCAGGAGGGGAGACCCGGGGGGGGGGGGGGCACGGCTTCTCCCCAGGGCTGTGTGACCTTGAGGGAAATACTGCCTTTCCCTGGGTTCGGTACCCCAGACTGCCTGTGGCTTCCTTGGTGGAGGGTGGCCGGGAGGGTCAGTGTGCCCCCCAGACCTCCGAGCTGGCGCTTACCCCTTCCATTGCAGCCACGGGGCCCCTGGAGGAACGGCAGATTGCCTACGTCTGCCGGGAGGCGCTGAAGGTAGCGAGGCCCATAGGCTGCTCACTGCCCCATGCCCCGAGCTGTGGCCGGGAGCCCAGCTGGCCAGTGTGTGTGGGGGGGGTGCCTGAGACAGGGCTGGCCTGAGGGGCTGTGGGTCCTGGGAGAAGGGGCCCCAGCCCTGTTGCCGGAAGCAGCCCATTTCCCTCTTGGCTCAGTCACTTCCTGTTTGGGGAGAGGGGAGGAAGAAGCGGTGTGGGTGGGGGGCCCAGGCCTCAGAGAGGGCTCCGGAAAGGTGGGATGTTGCTCTCAGGGCTCTTCTGTGTCCCCAGGGGCTGCACCACTTGCATTCCCAAGGGAAGATCCACAGGGATATCAAGGTAGGGTGTCTGGCCTGGGCCCCGGGGGAGGGGGAAGGAGAAGGCTCTCCAGAGCTCCAGATGGGATTCTCATCTCCGTTCCTGCAGGGCGCCAACCTCCTCCTCACCCTCCAGGGAGATGTCAAGCTGGGTCAGTACCCACCCGGGGACGCGGTCAGGGTGAGGGTCCTGTGGGAGCTCCTGGCAGTCTCAGAGCCTGCATTCAAGTGCTGGGTGTCCTTGGGCAAGTCACTCCACAGCTTGGGCCTCAAGGTCCCCATCGAGGAAAGCGGAAGAGTCCTCCCTCCCTACTATGTGTTGGATGTGGTTGGGGCCCACCATCTGGCCTGGCGCTTGGTCAGAGGTGGACGATGGTTGGCCTTCCCAGGAGGGGGCCCTGGCCTTGGCAGTTGTAGCTGAACTTGGCCTGCCTGTTGTCTGAACCCCACCCGCCAGGTGCATCCTGAGCCTGAACCTCGGAGGTGGGTGGGGTGTGGCAGCCAGAGGGCGGGTCCCAGTAGCTCTCTCTCCCCCCCTCCCCACCACGCAGCTGACTTTGGGGTATCGGGCGAGCTGACGGCGTCTGTGGCTAAGAGGCGGTCTTTCATTGGGACTCCGTACTGGTGAGGCTGCACCTCGGGCTGAGGGGAGAGGGGCCATAGGGGGGGTCGCCAGCCACCCCATCTGTGACCCCATCTCTAGGATGGCCCCGGAGGTGGCCGCCGTGGAGCGCAAAGGTGGCTACAATGAGCTGTGTGACGTCTGGGCGCTGGGCATCACGGCCATTGAGCTGGGCGAGCTGCAGCCCCCCCTGTTCCACCTGCACCCCATGAGGTCAGCGGAGCACGAGCCCCCTGCCTGACCCCCAGGGCCCTGTTGACCCTTGGTCCCTGACCTTTCGCTCTCCGCAGGGCCTTGATGCTCATGTCCAAGAGCAGCTTCCAGCCGCCCAAGCTGAGGGACAAGACACGCTGGTGAGGCCATGGTCCTTGCTGGTCCCCCTCTTCGGTCAGTCCACCTGCCAACTCCCAGGGGCAGCCTCAGGAGCCCTGCCCTCTGGCATCCTCAGGCCATCCGTGGAGGGCCTGGGCTGCACCTTGGGGCCAGGGCTGGTGTGGACAGTGGCTGTTGGTGTCACAACAGTCGTATTGCTCAGGCTGGCTGCCCCTTGCCACGGGCTGGCCCTCTCCCGGCAGGCCCAGCGGACTCTCTGGAGTGGCAGCTGGGGGCAGTTGGCAGGATGCCCTGCATGAGGGCCGACCTGGGTCTGGGGGCTCTTGTGTCCACTAGGACTCAGAATTTCCACCACTTCCTCAAGCTGGCCTTGACCAAGAACCCCAAGAAGAGGCCAACAGCAGAGAAGCTTCTGCAGGTGGGAGGCAGGGGGTGGGGCCGCCGGGGCTCAATGCGTGAAAGCAGGGCTGGGGGCCAGAGACCGACCTGAGCCCCCCTCCATCCGCCAGCACCCCTTCACGACGCAGCAGCTCCCCCGGGCTCTCCTCACACAGCTGCTGGACAAGGCCAGTGACCCCCAGCTGGGCGCCCTCTCCCCGGAGGACTGTGACCTGGAGGTGAGAGGAGCTGGGGATGGAGTCTTGGCCTGGCCTGGTTGTAGGGCCAGGTGATACAGGTCAGGGTCCCTTTAACTTGAATATTTCCAGCCTCAGGAGCTCCCCTCCAGGTGAGCCACCCATTAGGACTCTCCCCTGAGCCAGCCTGGCCTCCTGTGCTGCCCCTTTACCCAGGTTCCTGCCCTTGACTCCGGCTGGCCATGCCCTCGCTCAGCCACCCTCTGCTTTCTGAGTGCCTTTGGCCAGTTATCGCTCCTGTGGCTGGTTGTCTTGGTTATGAAGTGAAGGTGCCACTTAGTCTCAGGATGGTCTCCGGGTTTGTGTGTGCGCACACGGCGGTGGTGTGCGGGGCGCCGGGCGTGTGCCCACTGTGTGTGTTCTTCCTTAGGCGTACGACATGTTTCCAGACACCATTCACTCCCGCGGTCAGCACGGCCAGGCCGAGAGGACCCCCTCGGAGATCCAGTGTAAGTCCGGGGCGGGGGTGGGCTGTGTGTGGACTTTCTGGGGGCTGTGTGTGGATTTTCGGGGGCTGTGTGTGGATTTTCGGGGGGCTGTGTGTGGATTTTCGGGGGGCTGTGTGTGGATTTTCTGGGGGCTGTGTGTGTGTGGATTTTCTGGGGGCTGTGTGTGTGTGTGTATTTTCGGGGGGCTGTGTGTGGATTTTCTGGGGGGCTGTGTGTGGATTATTTTCTGGGGGGCTGTGTGTGGATTTAGTGGGGGCTGTGTGTGTGTATTTTTGGGGGGGCTGTGTGTGGATTATTTTCTGGGGGGCTGTGTGTGGATTATTTTCTGGGGGGCTGTGTGTAGATTTTCGTGGGGGCTGTGTGTGTGTATTTTTGGGGGGGCTGTGTGTGGATTATTTTCTGGGAGGCTGTGTGTAGATTTTCGGGGGGGCTGTGTGTGTGTATTTTTGGGGGGGCTGTGTGTGGATTATTTTCTGGGGGGCTGTGTGTGGATTTTCGGGGGGGGCTGTGTGTGGATTTGGGGGGCTGTGTGTAGATTTTCGGGGGGGCTGTGTGTGTGTGTATTTTCTGGGGGGCTGTGTGAGTGGATTTGTTATGAATGTGAGGCTAAGTCCTGAGTCTTCCTTCCCCCTAACCTGTGTCCACGGGCACCCAGTTCACCAGGTGAAGTTTGGCGCCCCCCGCAGGAAGGAGACGGACCCGCTCCCGGAGCCGGTGAGGCTGGCTGTGCGGGAGGGGGTGGGGGGGCTGGGTGTGGGCTGGAGGCGAGCCTCTCATCAGAGGGTCTTTGAGGCGCTGGCCCTGGGGCTGGGAGAGCTGCCCACGCAGGTGTGTCCCGCCGGGGACAGGGGAGGCCGGGGCTCCCCAGGACCCCGTCCTGGACGGTCATGGGGAACGTGGCCAGGTGACCACCCCTTTCCAAAAAGTGGGCGATACATGCAGCCCCCACCCACCCTGTCAGCACATCCCTCTGCCCCAGTCTGCCTGTCACTGACTCAGTCTCTGCTGCCTCGCTGTCAGCATCTCGTCACTCCCACAGTCTGAGTCTCTGCCCTGCTCTCTCATTGTCCGCCTCTCTCACAATCTCTTTGCCTCTCATTGTGTTCCTTCCCCCCGCCCTCCCTCTCTCCCAAGCCTCTCGCCTATTGCTGTCTCACTTTCCATCTGTCCGTCTTCTCTCTCTCCCACAACCTCTTGACCGCCCTCTCACGTAGCCTTTCTGCCTCTCCCCCATCTTTCTGACTCGGTTTCCCGCAGTGGGAAGAGGAGTGGACCCTGCTGGGAAAGGAGGAGCTGAGTGGGTGAGTGAGGGAGAGGGGAGCTGCGGGGAGGGTTGGGGGCCGCAGAGATGGCTGCACGCTGACCTCCCCCCCACCCCCCCACCCCCGCCAGGAGCCTGCTGCAGTCCGTCCAGGAGGCCCTGGAGGAGAGGTGAGGGCTACGCCTGGAGGCGGGGGCAGCCAGAGGGCCGGCCACATCTCACCCCTCCTTTCCCTCCGCTTCCCCCTCAGGAGCCTGACCATCCGGCCAGCCTTGGAACTGCAGGTGCGGGCGGAGGGGAGCTGGAGCGGGGTGGGCACAGTGCTGTGGAGGGTGCAGCGTTTACAAGGGGACCTGCTGACAGCTGGGATGCCCCCCCCCCCCAGGAGCTGGACTCCCCAGACAATGCCATGGGAACCATCAAGCGGGCCCCGTTGGGGCCGGGCCCACATGAGCCCCCAGCTGAGGCCCCTCTGTCCAGCCCCCCAGGTGAGGCCCAGCTCGGGGACCGGGAAGCAGGTCCGGGCTGGGGGGTTCGGGGGGAAGGCTGGCCTGGAATTTGCCCTGGGTCTGTGCTTGCAGGAACCCCACCCCGCCCTCTCCCGGGCTCCGACAGCCCCCCGCCTCTCCCCACCGCCTGGGCCACCATGAAACACCGGGAGGATCCTGAGGTGAGGAGGCCACAGAGGGACGGGGAGAGGGGAGGCCCCAGGCACGTGGTCCTGACTCCGCCTTCCCTCCCAGAGATCGTCCTGCCATGGGCTGCCCCCGACCCCCAAGGTGCACGTAAGTGTCAGCCCGCAGCCCCGCCGCCTGCTGCCCTGCCCTGCGCGTCCTCACAGCCTCTCGCCTCTGCAGATGGGAGCCTGCTTCTCCAAGGTCTTCAACGGCTGCCCCCTGCGGATCCACGCTGCTGTCACCTGGATTCACCCCGGCACCCGGGGTAGGTGGGGGCAGGGAGGGCGCAGGAGCCAGGGGGTCCCCAGCCTGGGCCAGGGCTCCCGACTGACCTCTGACCCCGCGCTCAAACTGCAGACCAGTTCCTGGTGGTGGGCGCCGAGGAGGGCATCTACACCCTCAACCTGCACGAGCTGCACGAGGACACCCTGGAGAAGGTGGGGCCGGCCAGCTGAGGGGCAGAGGGCAGAGGCCAGAGGGCAGAGGGCAGAGGCCGGGGAGGGGGGAGGGGGGGTGCTGACCGCCTGTCCGCCTGTCGCTCTGTGGCCCGCAGCTGATCTCACACCGCTGCGCCTGGCTCTACTGCGTGAATAACGTGCTGCTGTCACTCTCAGGTACGCGGGGGACAGGCGGAGGGGGCCACCGGGGACCCCCTGCCCGCCAGCGCTCAGCCCCTCCCTCCTCGGCAGGGAAATCCACGCACATCTGGTCCCACGACCTCCCAGGCCTCTTCGAGCAGCGGCGACTGCAGCAGCAGGTCCCCCTCTCCATCCCCACCAACCGCCTCACCCAGCGCATCATCCCCAGGTGGGGGGCCCCCCGGGGAGCCGGGGTGCAGGTCGGAGAGGAGGAGGGGGCTCCCCCGGGGAGCCGGGGTGCAGGGCGGAGGGGAGGTGGGCCCCCCCGGGGAGCCGGGGTGCAGGGCGGAGGGAAGGTGGGGGCCCCCCGGGGAGCCGGGGTGCAGGGCGGAGGGGAGGTGGGGGCCCCCCGGGGAGCCGGGGTGCAGGGCGGAGGGGAGGTGGGGGCCCCCCGGGGAGCCGGGGTGCAGGGCGGAGGGGAGGTGGGGCCCCCCCCCCCGAGCCGGGGTGCAGGGGGGAGGGGAGGTGGGGCCCCCCTGGGGAGCTGGGGTGCAGGGCGGAGGGGAGGTGGGGCCCCCCTGGGGAGCCGGGGTACAGGGCGGAGGGGAGGTGGGGCCCCCTCGAGCCGGGGTGCAGGGTGGAGGGGAGGTGGGCCCCCCCGGGGAGCCGGGGTGCAGGGCCTCACTCGTCACTGGGACCTCCGATCTCAGACCTGCTGTGACTTAGACGTGTCCCTTTGCCCCTCTGAGCCCGTTTCCTCACCCATCCGTGCGGGAGAGCCTCCCTCCCCTGACCCCGGCTGCTGGCAGCGAGAAGGAAGTGGTGGGTGTGAAACCGCTTTGCGGACTGTGGGAGCGTGGTTCTGAGGACGCGGGGCAGAGGTCTGCTGAGCACTCAGTCCGAGCTAGGCCTCAGGCTGGGCTTGGAGACTAGGATCGAACGAGTCAGTCCTGGGACTCAGCGCCTGGTGCTGAGCTGAGCTGGAGTGGGGAGGGGGGGGGGGGCGGGAGGTGCACAGAGGCCTTCCTGGCGGAGGGAAGAGCAGGTGCAAACGCAGGCCCCGGGGAGGGGCCAGGTGTTGGGCCTTCGGGAGGCACGTGGAGTGGCCGAGGGACGCTGCCCAGATGGCGGGTGGCAGAGCTCCCTTTGATGCCAGGCAGGATCTGAGCTCCGTCCAGCGGGCAGCAGGACCGTGGCCGTGGTAGAAGGACCCTCTGTCTATTGGAGGGAGGGAGAGCCGCTGCCCAGCTGTGTGTGCGAGGGTTTTACGGAATCACTGGCTGCTGAGCACAGACTGGAGGGGAGGAGGCTGGAGCAGGAGGCCTGTCAGGGCGCCATTGACATCATCAGACGGGAGCTGGCGGCTCTGGCTGGGGTAGCAGGGAAAGAAGTGACACGTGGTTGAACTCTGGCTTTAGCTTGAACGTTGAATGATGGGATTTCCTGATAATTGGCGGATGGACGGGAGAGAGGAGGAAGGTTCCCGGCCGGGCAGCGGGAAGGATGGAGCTGTCATCACTCAGGGTTCCATGTTGTCACGCGGAGTCTGACACCTGCAAGCGGGGCCTCTGTCGGCTGTTGGCAGAGCGAGTGGAGGCTGGAGGGGGCGGCCGGGCTGTGGGCTTAGCTGTTGCTGTGACCAGGTGCTGGTGGTGCCTGTGGGCCAGGTGGGGAGGCGGGCCAGTGGCTCCACAGCTGGGCAGACGTCCTGCCTGCAGCGGGCTCACGCCGGGACCTACGGACACAGGCCCAGGGGTGCCCTGTGCCACAGGCAGGCGGAGTGTGATGGGAAATCACGGAGTCACAGGGTCCGTTTCAAATGTAAAGAGCGGAGAACCAGAATCGCTTGGAGAAACACAAAAACATCTGCGGAGGCCAGTTGGGCAAGAGAGTGGGAGGAACCAGGGGAGAGAGGAGTGAGGACAGGGGCAGAGAGAGGCAGGCAGGCGGGCCTTGGCTTCCTTGGTGGGGCCTGCATCCTGGCACAGGGCACAGACAGGGGAAGAAACAGGCTCAGGACGTCCCTTGGGAGCTGAGGGGACAGAATAACCAAGGCAAGGACCCGCTTCTTCCTGCACCAAGAAGCGCCAGCACTGGCCGCCTGAGGGGCGGGGTGGAGTGAGCACCGGCTGCGGGTGGGGCTGGAGGTGCGGCCTCACGTTCATTTCTCCGTGTTCAGTGATGGCAGCAGGGGGGACCGTGGTAACACAGGTGAGAACAGCCAGCCTCTGCTGTGTCCACTCACTGAATCCTCACTGGGACCCTACGAGGTGTGTGTGGGGGGCCGTCATCCCATTCTACAGATGAGGAGATCGAGGCACGGAGAGGTTCAGTGACTTGCTCAGAGTCACACGGTTGGAGGTGATGCTGAGATCTGGACCCCTGCACTGGACAGACTCCTGGCTGTGCAGGTGGGAGCTGGGAGCTCCCAGCCAGGTGCTGCGTCTCTCTGAGCCTTAGCCGCGTCCCTGGGAGGCCGAGAAGAGAGCCCGCCTCCGTGGGCTCTGTCGGGGCCTCCCCTGTGATGCGTGCCCTGGCTGTCGCCCCCACAGGCGCTTTGCCCTGTCCACCAAGATCCCGGACACCAAAGGCTGCCTGCAGTGCCGCGTGGGTAAGAGCCGGGCTGCGCGCTCCGGGGAGGGTTTGGGCGCGGGCCCAGCGTGCCCACCGCCCGCCTCTCTTGCAGTGCGGAACCCCTACACGGGCAGCACCTTCCTGCTGGCCGCCCTGCCCGCCAGCCTGCTCCTGCTGCAGTGGTACGAGCCGCTACAGAAGTTCCTGCTGCTGAAGGTGTGGGGTGGGGGACGGGGCAGCAGGGGGAGCCACGGGGGCCCTCCAGCAGGGACAGGGGAGGAGGGGGCAGCAGGGGGAGCCACGGGAGCCCTCCAGCAGGGATGGGGGGAGGGGGCAGCAGGGGGAGCCACGGGGGCCCTCCAGCAGGGACAGGGGAGGAGGGGGCAGCAGGGGGAGCCACGGGAGCCCTCCAGCAGGGATGGGGGGGAGGGGGCAGCAGGGGGAGCCACGGGGCCCCTCCAGCAGGGATGGGGGGGAGGGGGCAGCAGGGGGAGCCACGGGGGCCCTCCAGCAGGGATGGGGGGGAGGGGGCAGCAGGGGGAGCCATGGAGGCCCTCCAGCAGGGATGGGGGGGGCAGCAGGGAGAGCCACGGGGGCCCTCCTGCTGGGATGGGGGGGAGAGGGGGCAGCAGGGGGAGCCATGGGGGCCCTCCAACAGGGATAGGGGAGGAGGGGGCAGCAGGGGGAGCCACGGGGGCCCTCCAGCAGGGACGGGGGGGGGAGAGGGGGCAGCAGGGGGAACACAGGGGCCCTCCAGCAGGGGATGGGGGCTGGGGGAAGAAATGAAGACCCGAGCACCCCTGCTGCCCCCAGAACTTCTCCAGCCCCTTGCCCAGCCCAGCCGGGATGCTGGAGCCGCTGGTCCTGGAGGGGAAGGAGCTCCCGCAGGTGTGTGTGGGGGCCGAGGGCCCCGAGGGGCCCGGCTGCCGCGTCCTGTTCCACGTCCTGCCGCTGGAGGCCGGCCTGACCCCTGATGTGCTCGTACCGCCTGGTAAGCAGGAGGCGGGGGCTGTGGGCATGTGTGCGTGCGTGTGTGTGTGTGTGTGTGTGTGTGTGTGTGTGTGTGAGCCCGTGTGTGCGCCCACAGACACCTCCAGGCCCTGAGCACCCAGCCTCCCTGCAGCCGGCTCCCTAAAAGATTGCCTTAGACCCGTGGTCGGCAAACTCATGAGTCAGCAGAGCCAAATAGCAACCGGACAACGATTGACATTTCTTTGGAGAGCCACATTTTTTAAACTTAAGCTTCTCCTGACGCCACTTCTTCAACATAGACTCGCCCAGGCCGTGTTTTTTTGTAGAAGAGCCACCTTCAAGGGCTCAAAGAGCCGCGTGTGGCTCACGAGCCGCAGTTTGCCGACCACGGCTTTAGACCAAAGGGCTTGGCAACTAAGAAAGAACCGACCAGCCCTGCAGGCGCTGCGGGCACAGACCAAGCCGCGCAAGTTGGGCTCGGAGGCTCCATTCTGAGCAGGAAGCGGGACACGTGGTGGGGGCTCACGGGGCGGGGTGAGCGGCAGAGGCTGAGCAGAGGCCGGGCCGGGTCCCCGGCTCCGAGCCAGAGTCTAACGCATAGGATTTCACTCCTGATCCCACGACGCCTGCGAGGTTGGCATCATCGTGCCTGCGTTGGGGATGAGGAGACCGAGGCTCAGAGTCCCCCAGCCTGGCTCCGGGCCCGCCCTCCCCACGCCCAGCTGTCAGGGGGTTGGGCAGCCTCCCCTGCCCGGGTTGTGCGAACGGAAGGCATTGTGGCCAAGAGCGGCCCAAGATGTCCCCCTGGGTCCTCTTGGTGGCTCACGTCTCCCTCCTCTGCCCGCAGAGGGGCTCCCAGGCTCCGCCCAGCAGGTGGTCCAGGTGGACAGGGACACAGTGCTGGTCTGCTTTGACCGTGAGTGCCCTGGGGTTAGGGCTTCGGTCAGGGGAGGCGGGTGGTGAGGGAGGCCGACTGGGTCACCTCCCCGGGAGGGAGCTGCCATCCCTGCTCACCAGCCCCTCCCCCTGCAGGCTGTGTGAGGATCGTCAACCTGCTGGGCGAGCCTGCAGCCACCCTGGCTCCCGTGCTGACCTTTGACTTCCCCATTGAGACTGTGGGTGAGTGAGCAGACAGGCGGGGCTGGAGGACAAGGCGTCAGGTCCCCCAGCCCCTCTGAAGGGCCATCCTGGTCACCTCGGTTCTCGAGGACCCCCGGCCAGGGAAGCCCGCATCCCAGGGCAGGCCCGGGGCTGACGGCAGCCCGGCCCCTCCCAGTGTGTCTGCAGGACAGCGTGCTGGCCTTCTGGAGCCACGGAATGCAGGGCCGCAGCCTGGACACCAACGAGGTGAGTGGGAGTCGGGAACCGAACCGGCTGCCCCTGACCAGCTGTCTCCGCCTCTCAGTGGAGGGCCCGCCCGAGTGGCCTCAGCGTCCCTTTCCTTCCAGGTGACCCAGGAGATCACCGATGAGACGAGGGTCTTCCGGGTGCTTGGGGCCCACAGGTAGGACATGCGCTGGCCTCCCATTCAGAGGCCCTGAGGCCAGGTGGCCGTGCCTGGGTGTCTGCTGCCCGGCTCACCGCCGCCTCTCTCCCTGCAGAGACATCATCCTTGAGAGCATTCCCACCGACAACCCTGGGGCTCACAGCAACCTCTACATCCTCACCGGCCACCAGAGCAGCTACTGAGCGGCCGGGCCCCCCAGAGGCACCCCCTCCCCACGCCTTAGCTGCAGCCTTAGCTTAGGCAGAGGGAACCCAGGCCCGCGCTGCTGGGCTGAGGGCAGAGGTAATCCTGAGAAGGCTGGGGGCTGCGGAGGGGAGGACAGCCCTCCCACACCCCTGCAATAACTGGACCAGAGGAAGCTGCTGTCACTCCCCTCCCCTCCCAGCAGCCCGGGGCCCCGAGCCCCATGGCAGAGGCCCTGGGTAGGGCGGGGCAGGCCCTGGACCACATTCCCTTTCCATCCTCCTGCCGAGAGCCTGCCCTGCCCCCGCCCCTGTCCCGGGAACATACTATTTAAGAGAGAGAACTATATTGGTATTAAAGCTGGTTTCACTTTATTCCATGGTCCTTGTGGGTCGGGACCGAAGCCCACGCCTCACTTCCCTCTGCCTCCCCCCTCCCCCCAGCACGTCTTTCTGTGGCACCGGTGCTGGGGTGCACCGTGGGGACGGGGTGCACCGTGGGGAGGGGGTGCACCGTGGGGAGGGTGGGCCCAGTGTGAGCGGCCCCCCCGGGGGTGCAGACCTCAATGACGGGGAGGCTGGTACTAGGGTGCACCTTGGGGAGGGGGTGCACCGTGGGGAGGGCGGGCCCAGTGTGAGCAGCCCCCCCGGGGTGCAGACCTCAGTGACGGGGAGGTTGGCGCTCCCAGGAGGCACCGGGCCCGGTCTTTCTGGGTCTCCTTGCTCAGGATGAGCCTCAGCCTCGCAGAGTGACCAGGCCATGTAGCTGGGAGGCTCTGAATGAGGCGCTCTCTCTGGAGCAGCCCTGCCTGTGTGGGCTCACCAGGCAGCCGGGGGCCAGGAGGGGCCGGCCGGGGGCCGCTCCACCCAGCCCTGGGAGGCCTGTGGAGCCTGCTGCCATGACCGGTATTTCCTGCCCCGGCCTGGGGCTGCCTCCTGCCTCCCACCTGTTGCCTAGGCATCGTGTGCTTGGTCAGGCCAGACCTACTGAGTGTGGGCACCACCATCAGGCTGCACTTGGCAAGATTGCCAGTGCCCACTAAACAAGAATTCCCAGGCCCCGGGCTCGCAGAGGCCGCTCCGAGCTGGGGACCAGCCCCGATGAGGGGGTGTCCTTGCTGCGCCTGCACCTGGAGGGCACATCCACCCATCCATGGCTGACCTGCTTTGCACTGTCCTCCCCCATTTCCCTCTTAAAGGGCCCCCTACCCTGGGAGTCTCCTGTTGCCCAGGCCTGACCAGAGCCTTTGGGCAAGTGGAGCCAGGAGGAGGATGCCACCGGCCTCAAAGGAGGTGGTGCGAGGCAGGACCGGGGCTGCAGCGGGTGGGAGCCTGGGTCGGGGGCAAGAGCTGGAGTTTGGCTCAACGATGTCTCTTCGGATTTTCAAGGCGAGCATTTATGAGTATTCTCCGCCCCGGGCGGGCTGTGGGAGATGTGTGATGAGTGGCGGGCAGAGGGCAGCTGACGTGAAGAGCCCGCAGCAGCCAGTCCCCAGGGCCCGTGGCAGGGGCCCCAGGCAATCCCACGACTGTCATGTTGTCCCTGTGTCCACATTCCATGGAGCACCGCTGCTCTGACTCCTAGTGACCGGGTTTCTCAGCTGAAATGGGGGTCAGACAGGAGACAGCCCTGTGCACTGGGCCCCACAGGAGCGGAGAGGACCCGAGTCTCCCAGGCCACATGGCGGTGAGAGGACTGAGGTTCCTAGCTTTCCCGGTGGAGGCGTAGGCTTAGCGGGGAGCCAGTGGTGGGCGGTGAGCCCACCCACAGCGGCTCCTGGCCGCAGGAACCCAGGGAGGACGGATCTGCCCACAGCGCCAAGCTGCAGGCGTACCACCTGGTGGCAGGTGTCCCCTGTCCGGGCTGCCCCCCTTGTCTGAAAAGGGTGGAGGTGGTTGGGGACTATCAGTATAACGTGCCAAAGCGGGGGTCTGGAACAGCTAGCACACTGATCAAATACCTGCTGATAGCAAAGGCTGGCCACAAGCCAAAGGAAGATCGGGAAGCCAGGAAATATGCACCAAAAGACTAGAATTATATATTTTTAGTAGGTGGCCTTGCTGCCTAGCTGTATTTTAAAAAAATACAAAGTAGATGCTATGGGAAGACTCCCGCCCAAATCCCACTGGCTCTGAGCCCTCCTAGAGGTATTTATTTATGCGTATGTGAGAGTCAGCTGTGCTTCCTCTCCCCGTTATTACGCCACCGCGACACTGCGCACTGCTGCATCCTGAACTGCTGAATCCTGCCCGGTACAGCTGTCCGGGGCACGCCCGGGGATGTGACCAAACAGGGCATTTCTTTCTCTCCCTCTACTTTCTTTATTAAAAATCAATAAAGCCCTAACATGTGTGGCTCAGTGGATAGAGCATTGGCCTGAGGATTGAAGGGTCCCAGGTTTGATTCCGGTCAAGGGCATGTACCTTCGTTGTGGGCACATCCCCAGTAGGATGTATGCAGGAGACAGCTGATGGATGTTTCTAACTCTCTATCCCTCTCCCTTCCTCTCTGTAAAAAAATCAATAAAAATACTTATAATAACTAAATAAAAATAAAACCTGTCTCCCACTTCTTTTTTTGTTAATAGACAGTGGTATTCCATTATAAAGGTTTCCATGACGTGCTAATTTACTGTAATTAGGCTGATGGGAATTTGTTTCTACTACTTTGGAATTAAAACGTTGCTGCAGTAAATATGCCGAGAGTCACTTGCATATTCAAGGGTCCATTAGGACAACTTCCTGGGTGGCACAGCAGGGTCACAGTGGCTGTCCTGGGACAGCCCCCATCTAATTGCCCTCCCTGGGCAGGCCTCAGGAATGGGTCAGACCAGCCTCTCAGCCATTCCAGGGGGAGTGCAGGTGTGGGCAGCCCATACCCCAGCCTAGTGAGGGTCAGGAGAGGTGACTACCAGAAAGTGGCCACGTTCACGACCATGCCCAGCACCTGGTCCGGCCCGGTGCATGCTTTCCACGGGAAGGGAAGGAATGAGTGTTGTGAAGGGGAAGCCCTGGGGTCAGGCCCCTGGGCCCCATTTTCCTGGGTGTATCCTCTCTAAGTGCCTGCAGGGCTTGTAGGAAGATTGAAAATACCCTAATACATCAAATACAATAACACAGATGCATCTTATAGAGGTAATGCCGAATTAAAGCAACAAATTGCATAAAACTACACACAGTATTACAGTAAAACTAAACTTTGTATTGTTTGGTGACGAACTTGATAAATCAAGTCAGAAGAAGAAAAAGCACAAAATGCAAAATGCTGGTCCCTGTGAGGGGAGCGAGGGTGGGGAAGGCAGGACCCCAGGAATTTGCAGAAGGCACTGGTAACACCCTGGCTCTCAGGCGGGTGGTAGTTTCAGGGCGTCCCATGTATAACTGTTTCCTAACTGAGGCGCACACATCCTTTTGTATGTATCAAATACTATATAATGAAAGATTAGGTTGAAAAGTGTCAAAGTAATCACACAAAAATCAAAGCCCTATAATGGTTTAAAAAATGAAAACAAAAAGCCAAGATAACCCTCTCCTCCACAGGGACCTCAAGTGGAGATGATGGAAGGGTGGGCAGGTCTTTCCCAGCTATTGCTTCTATCATTTCTTTAAAATAAATAAGTTTTATTGATTTTTACAGAGAGGGAGAGAGAGAGAAACATCCATCAGCTGCCTCCTGCACACCTCCTCCTGGGGATGTGCCTGAAACTAAGGTACCTGTCCTTGACCGGAATGGAACCTGGGACCTTTTAGTTTGCAGGCCGATGCTCTATCCACTGAGCCAAACCGGTTAGGGCTATCGTTTCTTTTAAAAACAGCTTTTTGGAGGAAGAGTCAGCATACAATAAACTGCATGTATTAAAATGAGCTTTTGATGACTTCAACACACAGGCACCACACCCGTGAAACCCTTACCACAATCAAGATAAACCTCTTCATCCCCCAAAAGCTTCCTCCTAGTCACACCTCCTGCTCCTCACCTCCCCGTGCCCCTAACTACTGGTCTGCTGTCAATAGAGATGAGTTTGAATTTTGCAAAATTTATATAAATAGAATCATACACTGTATTCTGTTCCTCTCTGCCTTCTTTCACTAAGCACAATTATTTTGAGTTTCATCCATGTTGTTCCATGTAGTAATTAATAGCCACTTATTGCTAAGCAGAATTCCACTGCATGGGGATAGACCAGTGCGTTTAGCTAGTCACCTGGTTCCAGTTTGGGACTGTTACAAATGAAGTGGCTATCGGAGTTTTGTTTTGTTTTTTAGTTGTCTGTGGCTTCTTGCACTGAGAGAGGATTTGTTCTGGAGCCCCCCCCCCCCTCGCTCCAGAGAGAGGGGAAAATAAATAAATAAAGCGACATTGATTTCGGAGAGGGAGAGATAGAAACATCATTGAGAATTATTGATCAGCTGCCTCCTACACACACACCTGCTGCTAGGGATTGAGCCCGCAACTCAGGCAGGTTCTAGGTCAGGTGGTATGGGTTAACGGCTTTTCAAGGCTGCCTAATTCCAGGTTATGGATATTTCAATTTGTTGAACCATTCACACACATATCTTATTGTTTGTTAATCCTCACCTGAGGATACTTTTCCATTGATGTTTAGAGAGTGGAAGAAGGAAAGACAGAAATATCAATGTGAGAGAAATTGCCTCCTGCACCAAGGCCTAGGCTGGGGAGGAACTGAGGTACGCGCCTTTGAGTGGAATCAAACCTGGGACCCTTTGGTCAGCATATTGATGCTCTATCCACTGAGCCAAACTGGCTAGGGCCACAATGTATCTTTTTTAAAAAAATATGTAACGCTTCACAAATTGGCATGTCATCCTTGTGCAGGGGTCATGTTAATCTTCTCTATATCGTTCCAATTTTAGTATATATACTGCCAAAGCGAGCACACAATATATCTTTTTAATATATTTTTATTGATTTCAGAGAGGTAGTGAGGAGAAACATCAAAGATAAGAAAATCATTGATCTGCATGTCCCCCACTGGGGATGGAGCCCACAACCCAGGCATGTACCCTGACGGGTATCAAACGGTGACCTCCTGATTCACAAAAATATAATTTATTGATTTCAGAAAGAGAAACATCAATTTGATGAGCATCACTGATCGGCTGCCTCCTGCTTGCCCCTACTAGGCATGGAGCCCATACTTGACACAATCACATGCGCTGCTTTGGGGGCAGATTCCCCAGAGAGGGGTTGCTTTATTGAAATTGTTTATTTTCCTTGAAAGATATATACTTTTTAAATATAATCCTCACCTGAGGATATTTTTTCAGGGAGGGAGGGAGGGAGGGAAACACCATTGTGAGACACATCGATTCCACAGAGTCCTGAATGAGGGTGAACCTGCAATCCAAGTATGTGCCCTAGCCTGGGAATTGAACCTGCGACCCTTCAGTGCCCGGCTGATGCTCTATCCACTGAGGCACAACAGCCAGGAAGGGGTGCAATTTTAATAGACAACAGAATGCTTTCCAAAAAAGACCTTTATATTAGTGTCAGCACATTTGTCTTCTGCTCTTTCAATGATTCTAGAAAGAGATCCTTCATTATCACCGTAATTTGCATTTCCCTGCTAACAGTGTGTCTTTCACATTTTTTGGCTATTTGGACTTGCTTTTCTGAAACTTGCCTATTTGTAGTCTTTTCAAAAATTAGTTTTTCCCTGGCTAGGCAGCTCAGTTGGTTAGAATGTTGTCTGGGTAGACCAATGTGCAGGTTCCATCCCGTCAGGGCACATACGAGAAGCAGCCAATGGCTCACTCGGGTGTGGCTCAGTGGTTGAGGATCCATATACCAAGAGGTCAAATTTGGATTCCTAGTCAGGGCACATAACCAGGTTGTGGGCTTAAACCCCAGTAGGGGCATGCAGGAGGCAGTAGATGGATGAGTCTCATCATTGATGTTTCTATCTCTCTTTCCCCTCTCCCTTCCTCTGAAATAAAAAACAAGAACCCATGAATGTATAAATAATTGGAACAAGTTGATGTTTCTCAAATCAATAAAAACTAGGAAAAATTACTTTTTAAGACTTCTTTGCATATCAAAGATATTAACTATCAGGTGTGGCAACTGTTTTTGTGAATTATTATCTGTTGACTTTTATCATAGTTTCAATGTATTTGGTAATCAAGTATATCTTTTCTTCATAGTTTGAAGTCCCTGTCTTCATCAACTCTCTACTCCTGCATTACCCTGAGAGCCTAAGTGGTTTTATTGTTTCTAATCAGGACTGTATAAAATTAGCTAAAGCTTTTCCTCACTGAACTGAAATACCACCTTTGTGGTATTTTTACCCATAAAAGGGGAATCTATTTCAGGACTGTTTCACTGATGTCATTCCTACATCACATTAACTATTGTATTTTATACTGTATAATACTATCTGGAAAGGCAAGATCCTCCTCAACCTTGTTTACAAGTTTCCCCACTATCTTCCCAAATGACTTTAAGATGATTTAACAAACCACAAGATGGGAGTCTAATGGGACTACATATTTGTAAACTCATTTCAGAATTAAGTTCACGCTCTTTTCCACCTAAGCTTATATGTTCCATCAGCTCAGATTTTTAATCCTTCAATTCGGGTCTACTTTATAGCGACTTCTCTCTCACTATTTTTTTCAAAGAAAACACGATATCCTTTTCTACCTGTGGTGTCAACGGATCCCTTTTACGGACACGGTCCGGACCCGCCCCCCGACCCCGGTTCCGGGTTCCGAAGGGATCGAGGATTGACGTCACTTAGGGTTTACGCTCCGGCCGCGGGAACGAAGGTGAAACGAGGGGCGGAGAGGCGACTTTGCTCAGTCTACGCATGCGCACTCCTCCCCCGCCGTAAATCTCATTGGCCGCGGCTTTTCCGCCGCGACAGCCAATCTCAGGGCGCGACGACACAGCCGAGTTTGATTCCATCAAGTCCAGCCAATGAGAGCGCGCCTGCAGCCCACGTCACAGTCTGTCCCACCCTAAACCCTCCTTCCTGGACTCGGAGCTCAGTCCGCGCAGTAACAAATGAAGTGCGCGCTGCGACACCTCCCAGCTCTCCGCGCTCGGCCGCCATTTCCTCGCCAGGCCTAACGGTCCGGCCAATCCCAGCGCACAGCGAGAAGGACGGACGCTCCGCCAATCGGAGGCCGCCGATCCGACCCTTCGCCTCAGCCCGGCCCAATCCAGGCTCCGGCCCGTCGCCCCCGGCCCGCCCCCGGGGCGCCCTCTCTCCTCCCTCTTTGTGCGTCTCGCGCCGCCGCCGCCGCCGCCCGCCGCGTGAGAGGAAGGGCTCCGCGCGTTCCGCGGCAACGCAGTCGAGTCCCCTCCCCCCGGAAGGTTCGCTAAGGAGAAGCCGCCGCCGAAGAGGAGCCGCCGGTGCGGGTCCCCGGGGGCGCCATGGCTACCGGAGCGAATGCCACGCCGCTGGGTAAGCTGGGCTCCCCCGGCCTTCCCTCCCTTCCCGGGCCTAAAGGGAGCTTCGAGCCGGTGCCACCGCCTGTCCCCGGGCCTGGGGCGGGGCTGCTGGTGTCCGGGCCGCCGCCGCCGCCGCCGCCCGTGGGGGCCCTGACCGCGGCCTTCCCCTTCGCGGCGCTGCCTCCTCCTCCACCTCCGCCTCCCCCCCCGCCGCCGCCGCCGCCACCGCCGCCGCCCTCCCCGGGCGCCTCGTACCCGCCGCCGCAGCCGCCCCCTCCGCCGCCGCTCTACCAGCGCGTGTCGCCGCCACCGCTGCCGCCACCCCAGCCGCCGCGTCAGGACCAGCAGCCGGGCCCGGCCGGCGGCGGAGGAGGAGGTGAGTCGGGCCGAGAGAGTGCGAAAGGCGTCGCGAGAACGGGCCCGGCCAGCTGAGGGGCGCGCGGCGGCGGCGACGGCGACGGCTGCACGCGGCAGGGGCGCGCGCGCGCGCGCGCACGGGGAGGCCCAGGCGGAGGCGCCACGGGGCGCGCAGCCTGTTTCTTGCACCTCGAGTGCGCACGCGCGCTGGGGAACAGGCCGAGGGGGGGCGCTGAGCGGGAGGCTGGCTGTGCGCAGGCGCAGTGCGCTGCCGGGCTGTATGGCCCGAGTAGAAGCTGGGGCGGGGGTCTCCCCAGTAGCTCTCTAGCCCCAGTTGTAGGGGGGAGATGTGGAGAGGTCGAGTGGGTGGATTGGGTACTGGGTGTGCCTGTCCGGAGGGTGTGGAAGAGTTAAGTCGTGACGTGGAGCACTTCCGGTGGTAGAGGAGGCCGAGAGGGAGGAAAGGACCAAGGAGAGCCATTTGGACTGTACGGCAGGGTCTTCCCTGCAGAGAACGGGGGAGTTGCAAGTCTTCAGGACATTGTTGGCTCATATCTTGTGGCTCTTTGGGGGTGGGGGGGATTCTGTTTTCTAGTTGGGGCTTTACTCTGGAGCCTGGGCCCCCTGGGAAGTAGGATGATTTGTGTGTACCAAAGGTGTAGGGAATTTATGCTTATATATCAAGGAAGAAAGGTTTTGCTATTATAGTTTGTTCTTTTTTTAAATTTTTATTGAGAGAGGGAGGGAGAGAAAGAGGAACATTGATCTGTTTGCCTCCCCTATGACCTGGGCTGGGGATTGAACCTCTGCATGAGTGACTTCCAACCATTGAGCCACTCTGGTGAGGGATTTTTTTTTTCCTTCTTCTTTTAACGTTAGGTGTCAGACACTGTACAAATGGCCAGGAAAGTTGCTGGTCTCAACCGATCTTTTGAAGAACAAAAGTAGTCTATAGGGGTTGGGGGAGAAAAGGAGGAAAAGGGGAAAGGAGACGTGTAAAATTTTAGACAATGAAAGATTTTTAAAAAGTAGTCTGGAAGAAACTTGCTATAGATGTAGTTGAGATCTGGCCTGGTTCCAAAGGTTGGGGAGGTGGTGGGAGGAGCCAGCAGGTTATAAAGCTGTTTGGTTATTGAAGGATGATGTAGCATATATCTTCTCAGCACCTTATTTTTCTGTCTGTAACCTGGCCCATTAGGATTTGTTACCTTGTTGCCCTTATCAGTGTGGCTCCGTTGATGGTTGTGCCAGCTCCATTTCTCATCAGGGACATGCCACGATTTTTGAGCTTGATTCCTGGTCTGGGGCTTGCAAGAGGAAGCTGATCCATGTTTCACTCACAGTGATGTTTCTCTCCCTCTCTCAAAATCAGTAAATTATTCTTTTAAAATAAACACACAAAAGATTTGTTATCCTGTCCACATCACAGTTTCTCTGAATTACTAACTTTTTGGACTCAGGTCCACCTGCCCATCCATGTGTCTCTGATTTCTCAGGTTTGGCTTCCATTCTTTGCTATTTACATTTTAGGTCAAGTTCTCAGTTTCAGTCTGCTGAGTTACATGTAATGTCCTAAGTATCCTGAACTGCGGTAGTTTTTCTGGTGGTTGTGTTTGCATCTTATGAACTTCCTTTCTTGTAGACTTCCCAAGTAAGAAGCGGAAGAGGAGCCGCTGGAACCAAGACACAATGGAACAGAAAACGGTGATTCCAGGAATGCCTACAGTTATCCCCCCTGGACTTACTCGGGAACAAGAGAGAGCTTATATAGGTAAATACACGTTCTGCACCCGAATGCATTTTCAGATTGTTAATGTTCTGAGCGACACTGTCCGTTTTAGTTTTGAGACTTTAAATTTTTCTATTTTGAGATCATGTATGGCCAGTTGTGCCAGGTGTACTTTCATGACTCTGAAATAATTCTTCAGTTTTTGCTGTGGGTCCTGCATTGGCAGCTCCTTGTTATGGTCTGTTGGTAACAGCAGTGTTCTCCATGAGGACCAGGGGAGGAGAGGGCCCCCTAGGCGTTAAGAATAGCCCCCAGGTTAGAGCCCCCCGCTGTTCAGCTGCTGCCGGGCGGGGAGGGGAGTGTCTGCCTCCGGACACGGCCCGTGGAGAACACGCAGGTATTGTAAACGGTGCCTTTCGCAGCATGGCCTCACCGTGATTTCACGTTTCTCCCTTCCCTTACAAACGGTCTTTTACTTTTTATAGGTACTTTCTGACCGGAAAATACTCAGTTTAATCAAAAAGTGGTTCTGAAAGTGTTTCCAGTTCACCCCCTTTTTAATCATTTTGTTGAGTTTAACCTTTCCTTCAGCAATTTTTTTCCTGGTTTGGTCTTTCAGAGCTGTCTTAAAATGAGGGCTCTTGTATTTACCACTAAAGAACTCTGCTGGGAAAGGGCTGCTACTTGGACATGGATCTTACCTATTGGGAACTTTTAAGAATTAAGAATGACGATCCACATTGGAAATGAAATTAACCTCAAAGTTACCTTTTTAAAAATACAAGGTTTTTAATGCAATTTGACCTTTATTTGTGTACTCTGCTGATGTCTCAAAAAAAGTTCACTTTTGATAAACATTTCCTACTAACCAAATAAACAGCCCCTTTGGAGTAAATTAGGGCAATGAATGGTTTCCTACACTTAGAGGCTATGGCCTTCACAAATAAAAAGCTTCAAGGCTGGCTTGTTATTCTTGAGGATCATAGTGTCTTACATTTTTTGGACTGCTGAGAATTTTGAGGTGTTGAAATTGCCTAATATTCACAATATTTTCCTTCCCCCACTGTTCTGTCTACTCCTGCTCAGTCTCATATTAGATCTGAATCTTCACAGCCTTGTGAAAATGTCCTTTGTGGAGCAATATCCCAAAGAATAACAAGCTGACTTAGAAATTGGGAAAAGGGACTCATTCTTTACATTTCCAGTTTTCTTCCTGTGGAAGGAGTTAATGCACTGAGCCTAAGGGCTATTTATAGCTAATTTATAGCTAGAACCAAAGCCTGGGCTAATGTAGATTTCCACTCCAAGGAATATAGCAACCTTGATTTAAGTGCCAGCTATTTCCTCAAATTAGACCCCAGGACCCCTGCAGTCCAGTTGAGAGAACTGTCTCTCTCTCTCTCTCACACACACACACACACACACACACACACACACACGAAGGTGGCTTTTGCTTTGAGTTGTTCTTAGAATTTAATTGCCAAGTCAGAACTTTACTGGCATAAAAGAGCTTATGGGGAGCCATTGTCTTTTTTTTTAATATATTTTATTGATTTTTTTTACAGAGAGAAAGGGAGAGGGGCAGAGCTAGAAACATGGATGAGAGAGAAACATCGACCAGCCGCCTCCTGCACACCCGCCACTTGGGGATGTGCTCACATGCCCTGGACCTTTTAGGCCACAGACCGACGCTCTATCCACTGAGCCAAACCGGTTTTGTCTTTTGTCTTAACTTTTGTCTCACAGTACACATGCCTTGTACAGAATGCCCCATGTTATTATTTTTTTTTTTTTAATATTAATGTACATTTTAACTTCTTTATTTTGAATTGGTGTGTATTATAGCCCCTGTGAGTTGTATTTATTTACTTTTTTGGTAATCCTCGTCTGAGGATTTTTTCCATTGGTTATTTTTTGAAATTGGAAGGAGGAGGAGAGACAGGGATGTGAGGGAGACATTGATTGGTTTGCCTTCCACACGTGCTCTGATGGGCTGGGAATCGAGCCTACAATCAAGGTATGTGCCCTTGATCAGAATTAAACTCAGGGACTCCTCAGTCTACAGACAGATGCTTGACCCACTGAGCCAAACCGGCTAGAGCTCTGAGATGTATTTATTTATTAATAATATATTTCTTTAATGATTTCAGAGAGGAAAGGAGGAGAGAGAGATAGAAAACATCAATGATGAGAGAGAATCATTGACCGGCTGCCTCCTGCACGCCCCCCACTGGGGACTGAGACTGCAACCCAGGCATGTGCCCTTGGCTGGAATCGAACCCGGGACCCCTCAGTCCACAGGCTGACACTCTATCCACTGAGCCAAGCTAGCCAGGGCTCTGAGATGTATTTAAATTTAGAAGGGTATCTGGACTAGACCTACATGAATCTGTCCTGGAGCCATTTCAACTTTAACCCAGCCAGTAAGACTTGCTCTTGAGCTGTTCAAAACTCTTAAATGCTAAGAAATAAGCTGAAGAAAGTGATCTGGCTCTTCCAGTTATTTTGAGTAAAATCATCTGGGTAGCATTGCCCTGGAGTCTGAATTTTTGTGAAAAACCCTCATTTCTCTTTTTCATGTTCAACCTCATTTGTCAAGGTCAGAGGGTCACACCATTCTTGACTCACACTTTCAGTCCTCTGTACCCCCACTTTTACTCCCACTAAGGAGCAAGTCTAAAACCAGACTTGGTACCACTAATGTTGGTTAAGGTATATGGATTGTCATCTAAAATATGAATAAAAGCAAGAAGGTATTGGGAGATTCCTACTAGTATGGATCTGGTGTACAGAAAATATGTATGAACTTCTGTGAAGTGTTGAATTGGTTATTAACTGTCGTCTTTAAGGGATTTTTAACCTTGTATCAATGAAAATAATATTTGCTCAACTGGTATGTTTCCTTATCCCACGTTAATTGGGTTTCATTTTGGGCTATGTTTAATATTTAATGAGGAAAAATTAGCTCTCAAGAGTCTTGCCCTCAAAGTAATTTGGTGGGAACAGGATATTGGTGAAAACGTACATGGTTTGGTTCTGGGTGCCAATTGTTACAGCAAGACTTGGTAGGGGGAGAGGTGAAACACCTGATAAACGTTTGGTATTAGCCATAGTGAACAGTCTATACTGCTAACCCCTCTTCAAACAAACTGTTTGCTTCCTTAAGTGATAACCATTTTGAAGTGAAAAATACCTGTAGATGTAAATGGACTCCTGCCGCTAGATGGTTGGGAGTTTTTGCCTCAATGTGTACACTGATCAGTCGTCCCTTTCAAAGTCTCCGAGTTCTTCATGCTTGTTGTTTGGATTTGAGATGTTTTTTGGTAACATTGTCTTTTTTCCATCCTTTTTTTCTTTCCTAACCTGGTTTCTTCCAGTGCAACTGCAGATAGAAGACCTGACTCGTAAACTGCGCACAGGAGACCTGGGCATCCCCCCTAACCCTGAGGACAGGTTGGGAAACAGTTTTAACCAGCTGACAGTAACGCTTTTACCTTTTTCTCAATAACGTTTGACTGGTGGCAACATATTGTGTCAGTTCAATAAAATCCTAGTAAGACGACTGGTGCTCTGATCAAGTGGTTAGTCATCAGCTAGAAATTGTAATGAAACTTAATTACTAGCAGAATAAAAAGTTACAGGAAACTGGATATCTGTTTTCTAATTTGTAAGCATGTTTGTTTTAACCTGTCTTGCCCACCCATAAGGACAGTGAGTGGGCCATTACCAGCCTTTTCAGTACCTGCTTTGGCTGAAAGCCCAAGGTGTTGAGTTTTTCTCACAGGTGCACCATGCAGGAATTAAGAATATTTTTGAGCATCAATGAATTTGAGCAGGCCAGAAACTCAGTCTGCTCAGCTCATTGCTATATTGTAGCTGCTCATGGTTTTGGGATGGTTTTAAAATAGACAGGGTACCTACCCAATTTCTTTTACTGCCAGTTAATTTTCAGCCTTGCCATTGCCTGGGGTATTGGGAGAGGCCAGAATATTCCCACTTGTTTTGGGAAGGCTAGCTACCACATCCCCCTATTTTTTTATTTTTTTAAAGGGAAGTGTGGTCCTTCAACAGCTGTGGTCATGTTATCTCAGTTTAAAATTTCACATGTGAAAAGAAAAAAGTTCAAGAGAAGTGAACTTTTTTATATAACAGAGAGGAAGGGAAAAGGGGAGAGAGAAACATCACTGGTGAGAGAGAATCATTGATCGGCTGCCTCCTGCGTGCCCCACACTGGAGATCAAGCCTGCAACATAGGATGTGCCCTGACCTGGAATCGAACCATGACTTCCTGGTTCATAGGTCAATGCTCAACCACTAAACCATGCTAAGTGGAAGTGAATTTTTTAAGCACTAATTTTATTGGCTGATTGTGTGGTCTTTGAACAGCTAAAACCTAGTCTATTTAATTGGAAGGACAATATGCCTTCTCCCAATGAAATTTCTCTTAGTGCGTGTAGCATAGCTGACAGTACTTTTGCTTTAAAATGTAGTGTTTTTGGCTTTTGTTACCCAATTAGTAACTTGTTAAATAGGAAGATGTATTGGTTTGAGAAGCCACTCATACATCTTTCTGCTGCCCCTTGCTAGGAAACAAGTTTATTGACTTGACTTTGTTTATACTGTTTTTTTACCTATAGATTTTGGTTGGAAGGGGCTGTGTTTCATATTTCTTGGCCTTTTTAGGTTGCAGACCACAACTGTTAAGTGCCTTTTTTTTTTTTTTTTTTTTTTTTTGGCTTTTTTCCCCTTTAATAATACATCTACAGATTACCAGGCAATTCCTCAAAAGGTTGAATTTTTTTAAAATATATTTTATTGAGTTTTTACAGAGAGGGAAGAGTTTGAAACATCGATCAGCTGCCTCTTGCACACCCCCTACTGGGGATGTGCCCGCAACCAAGGTACATGCCCTTGACCGGAATCGAACCTGGGACCTTTCAGTCCGCAGACCGACGCTCTATCTACTGGGCCAAACCGGTTTCGGCAAAAAGGTTTAATTTTTAACAAACCTTTGCTTCCGGGAGAACTGGGATTAGAATTTAGTTCATCTATACGATGTTCATGCAAAGTGAAGAAGTTGGCCAATCTAACCTTTAGAATATCAGTTTTTGTATTTCACATTCATAATTTAGGAAGAGATTTAAATGACCAATTTGTACTGGTAACATTTTGGTGATTAGCTAGAAATGCTTAATTCTAGACAGTTACTGGGGGGATCAGAAATGTCAAGCATGCTAGAAATAAAACCAGAGCAGCCTCTTTCTCCCTGGTATTCAGTTTGAAAGAATCCCTAATACCTGATTGGTTTTTCTTTTGAGCCCAGGTTGGAGGGAAATGCATGAGTTTCTTAACTTAATAAGGTTATTTCTTAAGGTGTATTTTCAATATTAAGCCACTTTATGCCATTTTGATGTTGCTTAAGTTGCACAGTTAAAAATGTTTTTAAATTGGTTATAGATTTAAATGTATAAGATGATAGTCTAATAAACTGGGGTATGTTTGCTTTTGTTCACTATTACTGGATTGTGCTAACAGTTTATACAAATGCTAGAAACGGAGGTGTCATTTAGCCGTCATTAGCCATGAACAAACCTGACCTTCTATTCCATCGTGTGTGTAACGGATGACATGGTTCCCTTCAGGCTGAAGACAGTGGGAGCAGCCGAGTTCAGTCCTTGCTCTCCAACTAGGCAAGGTTCTCTCAACTAAACCAAGGGTGTAGGAGTCTTGACAACTTTCAGGATGTTTTTTAATAACCTGATCCACATGGTCTCTTCCCTTCTTGCAGCTGCTACTAAATTTTCAATCAGAATATCAAGCTATGGTCCTTTTTGTAATCTTAACTTAGAATTCTAGGAGTGTAACTTTTTTTATTACCCCCAAATCCAGCTGGTAAACTGACCATTTTATCATTACTATTTTTTACTTGTAGCAACAGCATTTTACTCCTTGGAAAACAGAGAGAGAGAAAATCTGCTTTCTGGACTTGTAAACTCTGGTGGAGAATCCTAGGTTTTCCCTGCTGTTTGCAGGTTCAGACCTTAGACAAGTACTTGGCCAAGTCTGCATTTGCAGCCTCTCTTAGAAGCTGCGTTAGCACTTAACGTTTTTCTTTACCCAGACTCCCCAACATCGAACAGCCAGAAAACAGGTTGGCTCCTGGGCCTTGGACACAGCCAGTCAGGCCATTGAAGGAAAAGCAGAAACGAAGCCTTGCACCATCTCTCCATTGTGGGGCCAAGTAGCTACCTAGCCTTGAGTCCTAGTCGCATTGGGTTGAAGAGTTCATACTTAGAGTGTGGCAGGGGTACATGCATTCCTGATAGGGCATGAACTCTGCGAGAGCTAACATTTTAAATAAACTTGGGGTTTTTGTGATTCATAAAGTTGTAATATTGTAAATTTTTTGCAAATGGTAGAAAATCCATATTTGGCAAGAAGACTCCAGATAGTATTGTCCTTGTCATTTGCAGTCAAGAGATTTTTCCAAAGGACAGACTAAACCCTCATCATTTTTAGAAAAAAAAGTAAAACCATTTTTTTTTTAATTTTTTTTTTTTTGCCTTTCTCACACACACCCAAGTCCCCCAAACGTTAAGCTTCCATCTACCCATTCCACACGATCTTGAATAGCACACGTTATGGTCAGTTCCTCCGAAGAGTGTTGTGTTAGGATCTGAGGCAGAAGGGCTGGGAAGGCTTATTATAGCCCATGTGGGGATGACGGAAGAGTGAAGGCAGAGCGGTAATGGCGGTCTGTTTCCCACAGGTCCCCTTCCCCTGAGCCCATCTACAATAGCGAGGGGAAGCGGCTCAACACCCGGGAGTTCCGCACGCGCAAGAAGCTGGAAGAGGAGCGGCATAACCTCATCACAGAAATGGTTGCTCTCAACCCTGACTTCAAGCCACCTGCAGATTACAAGTAAGCAGCGGGCTGGGTTGACTGGGACAAGGACACGTGAAGATTGCATGTGACATGGTAGAACATTAAAAAAAAAAAAAAAAAGAAAGAAAGAAAGAAAAAAAAGCCGAAACCGGTTTGGCTCGGTGAATAGAGCATCGGTCTGCGGACTGAAGGGTCCCAGGTTCGATTCCTGTCGGGGGCATGTACCTTGGTTGCCGGCATATCTCCAGCGAGGGGTGTGCAAGAGGCAGCTGGTCGATGTTTCTCTCTCATCAACGTTTCTAACTCTCTATCCCTCTCAATTCCTCTCTGTGTAAAATCAATAAAGTATATTAAAAAAAAAAAAAAAAAGATATTGATTTCAGAAAGGAAGGGGGAGAGAGAGAGAGAAACATCAATGATGAGAGAATCATTGATTGGCTGCCTCCTATACATCCCATACTGGCAAGCAAGCCCATAACCGGGGCACGTGCCCTGCCTGGGAATTGAACCATGACCTCTTGCTTCCTAAGCCAACACTCAGTCACTGAGCCACATGATGGAACATTTAGTACAACTTCTCACCTCTTACCTCAAATCACCAGAATCAGTGAGTCTCTTCTTCCTTAGACCTCCAGCAACACGTGTGAGCGATAAAGTAATGATTCCACAAGATGAATATCCAGAAATCAACTTTGTGGGGCTGCTGATTGGGCCCAGGTAAGTAACTGCTAGCCTATGGGATAGAGAATTCCTAAGAACCTGTGAGGTGTGTTTATCTTGTGCCAAATTGGGTGCCATTGGTTGCACCTTCCTGTTTTGAGTAGGACTTCACTTTGGCTGAGTTCATGCCTTCCTGTGAGAAAATCTGGTTAACATCCTTACTTTAGGGAAGTCAAATCGTAAGGATTGCTGTGGCTGGTCTTCACTTAGAGATCATGGATCTCTTGGTGGGAGATGCAGTTCTCTGCACTCATGATTTCCTACCAGGACCTGATCAGCCCACCTTTGTCCCCTCTGGCCTGTGAATTTGCATATAACAACTCAACCTTTCCTGCATCTGACAGAGGGAACACGCTGAAGAACATAGAGAAGGAGTGTAACGCGAAGATAATGATCCGGGGGAAAGGGTCTGTGAAAGAAGGGAAAGTTGGGCGCAAAGATGGCCAGATGTTGCCAGGAGAAGATGAGCCACTTCATGCCCTGGTTACCGCCAACACCATGGAGAATGTGAAGAAAGCAGTAGAACAGGTGAGGGAACCAGGAAGGAAGCCTCTTGCCAGAAATCCGGGTGGTTGTCTTAGCACTTAACACAACTGTCCATTTTCTCTCTATTAGATCAGAAACATCTTGAAGCAAGGGATTGAGACCCCTGAGGACCAGAATGACCTGCGGAAGATGCAGCTTCGGGAGCTGGCTCGCTTGAATGGGACCCTTAGGGAAGATGATAACAGGTAAGGGATCAGCTTAGAGGAGAGCGCACAGAGGCTGAGGAACCTATTGAGGCAGGTGCGGGGTGGCCATAGCCTTTGAGTTGACTTTTTTTTCTCTCAACAGGATCTTAAGACCCTGGCAGAGCTCAGAGACCCGCAGCATCACCAATACTACAGTGTGTACCAAGTGCGGAGGGGCCGGCCACATTGCTTCTGATTGCAAATTCCAAAGGTGAGGGGCTGCAGTGGTTTGCTGGTAGCCCGTGGCGTGCAGGAAGCTCTTCGGCACATTGGCGGGTTGCTATTAACCGTGGGTCCAAGAGCAGCTTTCCTTCCTGTGAATGTAATGGAGTGGTTTGAAGTCTGTGCACAGCACTCCTGTTTTGTTCATCTTGAGCCCGGGAAAACTGAACTTCCGTCCTGGGTATAGGGCGTTGGTGTCCGTCCGTGTATCCCCCTCCCCCTCCCCTTTTTTTTTTAAGTCTTCAAGGATGTTTTTGTTGACTTTAGAGAAAGGGGAAAGGAGAGAGTGAAACATCAGTGCGAGAGAAAAACACCGATCAGTTGTCTCTAATATACACCCCAAGCAGGGATCAAACTCACAATCTGGGTATGTGCTCTGACCAGGAATCGAACCTGTGACCTTTTGGTGTGTGGGACAACACTCCAACCAACTGAGCTATACCCGCCAGGGCAGGGTATAAGTTTTTTTGTTTTTTTTTACCGTGGCTCAACATTAGGTGCTGTTTTTGCTGCCGAAGATTGGTTTAAGAACACCAAAATTATGTAAAGATTTTGACCAGTTTTGCAAGCCAGCACTTGATAGCAACATATTTTTCACTCTAAGTGGCTTTGTTAAGGAAGTGCTGTCAGCTGTGCTCCAGTCTTGCATAGATTTCCTTCCCTCCGACTAGAAATACAGAATTCTTTCTTTGTTTAAATGTTTTTACTGACTTCAGAGAGGGGGGAAGGGAGAGGGAAAGATAGAAACATCCATGAGAGAGATTGGCTGCCTCCTCGCAACCTGGTTATCTGCCCTGATTGGGAATCCTTGGGTGAATGGGACGATGCTCTAACCCAGTGGTCAGCAAACTCATTAGTCAACAGAGCCAAGTATCAACAGTACAACAATTGAAATTTCTTTTGAGAACCAAATTCTTTAAACTTTTAAAATATAGGGTAGGTACATTGTTACTGACTTAATTAGGGTACGTGGTATTTTGTGAAAGAGCCCCATGTGGCTCACGAGCCGCAGTTTGCCGACCACTGTTCTAACCAATGAGCCACACTGGCCAGGGCTGGGAATGCAGAATTTGATGAAAGTTGCTACTTAGAAGAACCTGCACTCTCCTGTCTGGCATGGCTGGTAATGGGCTGTACTCACCACCTCCCTGTTCTCAGCCCCCGGGGCTCTGCTGTGGCAGAGGGATGTGTAATCCCAGATGCCCAGTTGGGCACACAACTGAAGAGCTAATGAGACTTCTTGGAAGAATGTGTTAAGATGATTCATTCCTCAACTTTCTTGTGTAAATTCCTCAGGGTTAAAGTTTATTCCTTAATGACTTTCCCTCTTTGTGACCCACACCCCACTTCAGGCCTGGTGACCCGCAGTCAGCTCAGGATAAAGCTCGGATGGATAAAGAATATTTGTCTCTCATGGCTGAACTGGGTGAAGCTCCTGTGCCAGCATCAGTGGGCTCCAGCTCTGGGCCTGCCAGCACACCTCTGGCCAGCGCACCTCGGCCTGCTGCTCCCGCCAACAACCCGCCGCCACCGGTGAGCGTCAGTGCTGTTCTGTGGCCTGGCCCCCGTCGTCCTCAGAGGAGGGGGTAAAGGCCAGGGATTTGGGGCAGAGCAGGCTGCTGACATGGCTGGCAACATTGTTCTTTCGGATGTCAGATGTTTGTGTTCTGGTCCCTGGCAAAGCCGAGAGAACAATGTTGCCACCAGGGGGAGCAGGCAGGGACGTTGGCAGGAAATGCTCTCACATAGTCTCTCATGTCTACCACCCAGAGCCGCCCACCCTGGATGAACTCTGGCCCTTCAGACAGCCGGCCCTACCACGGCATGCATGGAGGTCCTGGCGGGCCTGGAGGCGGCCCCCACAGCTTCCCACACCCGTTACCCAGCCTCACAGGTGGGCACGGTGGGCACCCCATGCAGCACAACCCTAACGGACCCCCGCCTCCGTGGATGCAGCCGCCGCCGCCGCCGATGAACCAGGGCCCCCACCCGCCTGGGCACCATGGCCCTCCTCCAATGGGTAAGTAAGTGTCAGACCAGAAACCTTGGGGCTCTGGGGTAACAAGAGTTAGGGCAAGTTGTTGTGAACGAGCAGCAGTTCTCAGAGTGGCTGAGTCCGTCAGGCCCTGGGTTTGTCAGGCTTGGGCTCCGGGAGGAGCAGGAAAGGGTTCTGTGTGGGGTCAGCACAGGCCTCTCCCAGAACTGCTCTCGGAAGGCAGACAGGAAAGCCGCTGGTGGGGGCCAGTTCCAATGTCCTGCTAAGTCCCTGCTCTCTCCTTCCATCAAGATCAGTACCTGGGAAGTACGCCTGTGGGCTCTGGGGTCTATCGCCTGCATCAAGGAAAAGGTAACGGAGCCTGGCATCCATCGCCCTTTGGGGCATCTCCTCGGCCTGGGAACGGATGGGGCCCGTCCCAAGTCTCCTCCAGAGGCCTGACCCTCTCCGTCCCCTAGGTATGATGCCGCCACCGCCTATGGGCATGATGCCGCCACCGCCGCCGCCACCCAGTGGGCAACCTCCTCCCCCGCCTACTGGGCCGCTACCCCCATGGCAACAGCAGCAGCAGCAGCCTCCACCACCCCCTCCGCCCAGCAGCAGTATGGCTTCCAGTACCCCGCTGCCATGGCAGCAAAGTGAGTGGCATATTTTGGGCTTGTGGGGGTGGGTGGGATGGGGGGTAGGGCTAAGAGGACTGAGAGAACCTCACAGTTCACACAGGCAGGCCAGCACCTTGGGGTGAGACTCTGATCTCTGCTGGGGTGAACACAAAGGGCCTGTGGCCCTGGGCGGGCTCGGGAGATCTGATGTTCGGCGTGGTTGTGTCGGGGGACAGGTGGGGGCCTTGAGGGGACCTGCCACGGCAGGTAGGGTGTCAGAAGTCCAGGCTCTTCACTGGCTGAGTGAGCGCTGGCTGGCTCAGTTCTGTGCACATGGCCAGGGTGGGTGGTGCATGCGAGTTTTGGAGAGGGATGTGATTGGGCCTGAGAGACTGGGGATGGTTGGGGACGGTACCTGGCAGTGGGAGAGTAGCTGTGGCCTTGAGGTTGAATGTGCCGTTCGGTGGTGGCGGCGGATGGGCGGAGGGATTTCAAAGCCGGTTCTTGTGTCTGGTACCTTCCTGTCAGCCCTTCAGGGGACATTGGTGACAAAGGGCTTACTTCGTTAAGCCCAGAGGCCTTGAGGCTGACCCTAGGGTAGTCCTGCCCACCCCTTCACTCCCCACCACCAGGACAGCCCCGCCCGCCCGCCCCCCACCACCGTACAGCATGCAAAGCAAGGAGCAGGCGCCCCTCGCCCCGTCCCAAGGCAGCAGCCGCAGAGAACCGCGGTGTGCCCCCGCGCGTGTGACCTTGGGCTTCTTTACCACCCCAGATACGACGACTACCACCACGAGCGCTGGCACAGGGTCCATCCCGCCATGGCAACAGCAGCAGGCGGCTGCCGCAGCTTCTCCAGGAGCCCCTCAGATGCAAGGCAACCCCACTATGGTGCCCCTGCCCCCCGGGGTCCAGCCGCCTCTGCCGCCCGGGGCCCCTCCCCCTCCGCCGCCTCCGCCACCTGGTTCCGCCGGCATGATGTATGCCCCGCCTCCCCCCCCTCCGCCTCCCATGGACCCTTCTAACTTTGTCACCATGATGGGCATGGGGGTGGCAGGCATGCCGCCCTTCGGGATGCCTCCAGCTCCCCCACCGCCTCCACCACAGAACTAGACTCGGTTTTTTAAGAAAATATATATTATATAGAGAGAATTGGTCTTGTTTAAACACACGCCGAACCTCACCATATGGAGCCAGACATTGGGACGCACGCATGTGATTGTGTGCACGCATGTGTGTGTGTGCACGCAGGTGTGTGTGTGCACGCACCGGGCTGGGCCAAGTGACTGAGGACGGGCAGGTGGTAGCAGGGGCGCCAGCGTGGGCTTTCCTGGCGCCCCGTAGCATCGAGTGTCTTCTTTGTCTTTCTCTCCTCACCCAACTCCCTTTGCCTCTCCCCAAACCGGGCCGCCAGGATCCCTCCCCGCGGCAGCGATGGCCCGAGCCATGAGAGTGAGGACTTTCCGCGCCCATTGGTGACCCTTCCAGGCAGACAGCCTCAGCAGCGCCCCTGGTGGACAGGATGGTTCGGCAAAGCAGCCTGAGTTATTTTTGTGGACGGAATCGGAACACGCTGGCTCCATATTGTGAAATTTTTATTAATTTTTTTCTTTTTCCTTTGTTATTTCCTTATCTCTTCCTTTCTTCAGACTCCGTCCAAGGAGATGCTCTCCCCGGTCTTCTGCTGCAATCAGATTACTTTTCCTTGTCTCCATTCCTCACTCTTCTCTTTCCAAGGAGGGAGGAGCAAATGGTTTTAGGCCAAGGCCTTGCTTGGCCACTAACGTCAGGCTAGTTTGGACGGGGGTGTTCCTAAGATTTCCAAGGTGCCATCGCCACCCCAAGATGACGACTATTTTGAAGTGGGATTTTGTGTCTGCCGCCCTCCTGGAGCCATGGCTCCATCTCCAGGTCCGGGATTCATGGCCACCTGACCCCCTGACCCGCCGGTGTGGCTGCCCAGCCACCTGGGCTTGTCTGCCAGACCAGGTCGTTCCACTCCCAGAGCGCCTAGGCCGCCTCATTCCATTTGTTCCTCTCCTTCTGGAAGGCTTCCTTTAAGTTTTATTTAATTCCAAACGTCTGGCTGGTTTTGCAGTGTCTAGGGTGTTGAGCCCCTTGTTTTTCGTTCTGCTCCCCCACCCGTCCCTTTTCATGGAGTGATTATGTTGACAATAATGTATAACGCGCGTTCTCTTCACTGGTTTATCTGCAGAAATTTCTCTGGGCTTTTTTTCCCCAGTGTATGGTTCAACACTTCGTTGAAGGGGGATGTTCCATTGAATAAAAGAGCAGTGTGGTTTTCTGGGTCTGTTTATTTTCTCTTAAGCCCTCCCTCATGGTCAGCAGGATTAAAGTTACCGATGTTGCCACAGGTAGCACCGGCCCCTGGGAAACCCGTGGGCCATTAGCTGAGGAGGCTCCCGCCTGCCTCCCTGTGGGTCTGTGGTGGAAGTGGAGTAGGCGGGCAGCCCCACCTCCCCGTGGGTGTAGTTAATGGCCGAGAACCGTGCTCCCCTCCTGGCGATCCCTCATCCCTCTGGTCCGTGTCCTTTTGAAGACGTTCCCTGGGGCTCGGACCCCCCACATTTGCAGAGCTCCAGTTGTGATTTGTGCCTGAAAGCTGCCACCTGACCACGGCCCTGGGCCTAGGAGGCTCCAACACTAAAGGTCAAGCCAACTAATCTGCCCGTCAGGCACAGAGCAGCTAAAATTAAAATTGCCAAGTGGCTTTTCTTGCTCTGCTGGTGACTTGCAGCCTGCCAGCTCTGCAGGCTTTGGGGAGCGGTGGGGGCGAGAGAACGTGCCCACCTTGTGCTTCGTAAGCACTTCTTTGCAAAGGGTCTTAGCCTGCTTTTTCTTTTCACGTCTGGACAGAGCCCATTGTGGCACTGGAAAAACCTATGTCCGGTCTCCATGAGGTTCTGAGTCCCATCCCTCCGCACTCCCCTGGGAGAGCTGTTCGGGCTGGCCCTCCCTGGCCGGCTTTCCTTTGAACAGGCTCCTGCTCCCAGCACCTGACCAGTGGGGACGACTGGCCTGGGCTGTTCCCAGCTTCGAACAGGAGATGGCCGTGACTGTGGATCTGTCTGTCCTTGCTGCAGGCCTGCGGGGCTTCCAGGAGCTTCAGGAAGTTCAGAGGGTTCCCTGAACCTCGGTTGACGGGAAGGAGGGGAGGAAATCTGTCCTTCCCTGATGGGATGGGACAGAAGCAGGTGCGGGCCTGGCTACCCTCTTTGACCTTGGCTTCACCTCATTGCTTCCCCACAAGCTCGGTTTCCCTGGTGGGCTCATTGGGCGGTTAATTAGCTCTTTGAAGCTCTGAAAGAGGCAAAGTGGCGCTATGTGGGTTTTAGAAATAAAATCAATAAACGACTTAACCGCAGCCCAGCTATCTCCTGTGTCTCCCCCGGGGCCAGCTCCATTCCTGTGCTCCTCTGCTCCCTGCCGTCAGCTTTTGTGAAGGTTTGGAGAGTAACAAAGTGGCTGACGAAGGCATCCGTCGTGGGCCTTTATCCAAGCAGCTCTAGGCCCTGAAATGGAGGAGAGACAACAGGAAGGCCCGGCCTTCTGAATGGCAGCGAGCCACCTGCCTTTGTGGCAGGTTGGAGAGCTGTGGCTGCTCCTCTTCACACCCCACCCACCCCCCAGGCTCCCTCTGGAAAGGCCTTTTGTGAGCCCTATTGTTAGGGGACCAGCCTCCCCTTGGTCTTTTCCATGCTGCCACATCGCCCACACTCCCTACAGCTTGGGCGAAGGGGATGCCAGCTGGGCAAGGTCAGCGTCAGGGCTGTTACTGAGACCCGGCCAAATGCTCTGGAGAAACTAAAGACTGGTCCAGAGAGGAAGGCAGGATTTCTGATGAGAAACCTGGTCAGACACAAATAACCTTGAGTTCGTTCAGGTTGGAAAACGGCTTTAAGGAGTCTTTAAAATAGACGCACATGCAATGCGAGGGAGCGAATGAGCAGGGAGAAGGACTCCGTGAAATAGGAGCAGGGCCGGTGGAACCTAGGTTTCATGCTGCTGGGTTGGGGCATCGAAGAAAAAACTGGAAGCTGAGTTGGAGGCCACTGACACACAGACCGAAAACACCCACAAGAAGGCAGTTACATGAGTCAGAAGTGAGTTTGTCACCTCCACTGCCTCGGTTGGTTAAGCATCGGCCGTGTATTAGGAGGACACAGGGCACATGCCTGGGTTGTAGGCTCAATTCCCAGGAGAGGGCATGCAGGAGGCGGCCCATCAATGTTTCTCCCCTTCTCAGAAATCATTAAAAACATTTAAAAATACAGAGAGGAAGGGGTTGGGGGGTGTGTGGAGAAAGAGAAACATCAATCAGCTGTCTCCTGCATGCCCCACACTGGATCAAACCCACAACCCAGACATATGCCCTGACCAGGAATCGAACTGTGATCTGACTCAGATTGATGCTTGACCACTGAGCCACACCAGCCAGGCAATAAGAACATTTTTTTTTTAAAGATTTTATTGATTTTTTACAGAGAGGAAGAGAGAGGGATAGAGAATTAGAAACATCAATGAGAGAGAATCATTCATCAGCTGCCTCTTGCACACCCCCCACTGGGGATGTGCCTGCAACCAAGGTACATGCCCTTGACCGGAATCGAACCTGGGACCTTTCGCTCTATCTACTGAGCCAAACCAGTTTCGGCAATAAGAACGTTTTTAAAGGCACATCTGTTTTCCAGTAGAAACGGTACGTCCTAGTTCAAGTGCCTTGAGTGCAGAGGAAGAGTGGGCACTGAATTGGTAAGAGGGCTGTGGGCCAATTCTGGAAAAGGATTGAATGAATTCGGGGAGCTGAATAAGAAGATGGGAGTGATCTGGCGTTGGCCGGTGTTGCCTGATTTGGCATAGTACACACCAAAAAGTTGCCAGTTCGACGCCATCTCAGGGCACATGCCTGGGTTACAGGCTTGATCTCCTGTAGGAGGCGTGTAGCAGACAACAGATCAATGGTTCACTCTCCCTCTGGAGAAAAAAGACGGGAAAAGCCCTGGCTGGTTTTGTTCAGCAGTTAGAACGTCAGCCCTCGGTCGGAAGAGTCACAGGTTTGATTCCTGGCCAGGAGCACATACCTTGGTCACAAGTTCAATTCCTGGCCCCCATTGATTGGGGCGCCAGTGCGAGGCAACCAATGGATGTGTTTCTGATGCTTCCTCTCTCCCCTGCCCCCTCCTTCCCCTCTGAAAGTCAATGGGAAAACATCCTCCTGTGAGGATTAAAAAAAAAATGATGGGAATGGTCTGTTGGAAGCCATCCTTAGTGCAGGAAAGAGTCTTACAGGCAATTTGGGGTCAGTATGAAGTTTTGTGTCGCCAAAGTGTGCTGCCAGAGTTGGGGTGTGGTGAGAGCACACTTAACTGGTGTGCTCTGCTCGGACCAGCCCTCTGGGGGAGGCGGGGGGAGCTGAGCAGAGGCTGCACAGGACGCTGAGGACAGGAGCTGTGAGGAGACCAGAGTGCCGCCAGCATTCCTTTTGGGAACAAGAAGCCTTGCCTCGCTGTTTTGGCTCAGTGACTAGCCTGCAGACTGAAAGGTCCCAGGTTCGATTCCTGTCAGAGCACATACCTTGGTTTGATTCTGGTGAAGGGCACATGCCTGGGTTGCAGGCTTGATCTCCAGTAGGGGGCATGCAGGAGGCAGCCAATTAAGCTGTTAACCGGGGAGTTCCCTTTTTAATGACGCAACCTGTAATGGGCGGGTACTCTTTCACTAGGACGTGTCAGTACGTCATGCCCGGAGGACGTAATTTCATATTATTATTTTTATTTATACTTAATTAAAATAAATGATATATATATATATTTTTTTCATTTATATATAAAGCACAAAGGAAAATACAAAATTACAAAAAAAAATAGAAAAGAATACCAACAAAAAAATGGAAACATCGAATTAAAAAATTATAAGTTTTACAAACAATTATAAAGATTACAAAAAATATATACCGTCCCTCTCAGGGCGCAACATATATTTCCAGGACGTATTCATACATCCTACCCGTTCCCGATATTGTTTACATTTGACGTATTTATAGGTCCCACTCGGTTAACAGGTTAATCTCTCTCATCATTGATGTTTCTATATCTCCCTCTTCCTTCCTCTGAAATCAATAAAAATATATTAAAAGTCTGAATAAAAGTTATTTAAACAAAGAAAACCTGTCTTTTCTTTGGGACCCTTTCCTCCACTGTGGAGCATGGCACCGTGGAGGACCAGCGTGGGAATGCCATCTCTGGGAATGGGCAGAGCAGGGCTTGGGTATCAGAGGCCTGGGTGGACTTGGACTTGGCCCAGCGCTGAGCTGTGGTTCGGGCTGGGCCTGCTGTGGGTCACAAGGTCCTGGGGAAGAGCTTGCCTTCCCCGAGCCGGGCTCCCTGTAGCATCATCCTGCAGCTGTCCAGGCCTCCTTCCTTGGCTCTTCCCCACTGCCCCCAGCCCCCTGGCCTACAGCCCCAGGAGGCCCAGGGCTCCCTTTGCTTCCAAAGCCAGCTTCCACAGCGCAGGCTCCGAACAAAAGCACCCACCTGAGGACACAGCACGTCGGTGCTGGGCCAGTCCCTGAGCAGTGAGTTGGGGGCAGTCGGAGCCTCCAGAGGAAGGTGAACGGCGTGAAGTTCCTGGATGCAGGGGCTTCCAGTTGACGAAGTCCCAGCTGTGAATCCTGGGCCACTAAGTCCTTGTCGGGTGGGAGGCCCCAGGTGGGAGGAGAGACGGGGAGAAGGCCTCCAATCACCTGGCAGCTCATCACAGGAAGCCCAACTACCATCGCCAATGTTACGGCTGGTGTGTGTGGGGGTGGGGTGGGGGAATAGTATGTCTCAGTTTCTCCTACCCCCGTCGGCCCACAGGACTACAGTTCCCAGGGGCCCCTGCTACAGGCTGTCGGCCCCTAAGCAAAGTTGGCCTGTGATCTGACCATTCTGGAAAGGTCACTTCAGAGCTCCTTGAGACAGCAACAGGGGGAGATGGGCTTGGGTGGGGCTGGGAGTGGGGTGCGGATAGTGGCTCTGCCTCGGGTGACATCCCCCATCCCACCCCTTAAAACTCGGGGTCCTCATCTCCCTTTTCTCAAGACACCCAGTGTCCTATGCTAGCTGCACCTCTCCTGATTGGGGCACACCGACCCTCAACTCCTAGCCCTTCAGTCTGAGGGGGAAGGGGGGCCCTGTCCCCTTTTGCCACAACATGTGGCCTTCCCACCAGAGTGCAGCTGACGATAGATAGCCCCCCAGTGTGGCCACTTTGGAAGCTTGGCCAGAGGTCATTCAGCCTGTGGCTTGCAGTCTCCCTGGGCAAATGTCTAAAGCGAACCAAGCTGGCCCTAGCTGGTTTGGCTCATTGGATAGAGCATCAGCCTGCAGACTGAAGGGTCCTGGGTTCGATTCCAGTCAAGGGCATTAAAATAATAATAAAAGCAAACCAAGCTGCTTGTGAAGGCTGGGCCTCCTGACACCTGCCCACTTGACAGCCCCCTCAGACTCTCCTGATTGACAGCCCACAATCCAGCCCCACCCTTCATCTAGAATCCAGGAAAAGGACCAGATCCAGGCAGCCTCGAATCCAAGGTCTCAGCCCAGGGGCTCCAGGCAAACCTCGGGGCCCTCCAGCCAGCACTCGCCCGCTGCTTCTTGTTTCTGACGCTGAAGACAAGACAGAGACCCCAGTGTGCAGGCCCGGAGGAAGTGGGTCAGCACAGGCTGTGAATGAGCCAGGCTGGGCCTGGCCTGGCCCCGTGTGGAGCTGGGCCCTGTTGTCCCTGCCCTGCTCTCTCCTCCTCCCCTCACCCCCAAAATAGCTCCCGGGCGGGCGGGCGGTCTGGCCAAGACCCTCCCCTCCAGGGGGAGGCGGGGCATGCTGCCCGGAGTCTGGCTTTAAGTCACCGGGCTCCTGGGGATTTCCACTCCCTGGTTGGAGGCACCACTGAGGCCGCCCGCCCGTGCACCTAGCCACCAGTCCGCCAGGCCTCCTCCCGCAGCCATGTCCCGGCCGCTGACAGACCAGGAGAAGAGGAAGCAGATCAGCGTGCGCGGCCTGGCCGGCGTGGAGAACGTGACCGACCTGAAGAAGAACTTCAACCGGCACCTGCACTTCACGCTGGTCAAGGACCGCAATGTGGCCACCCCCCGCGACTACTACTTCGCGCTGGCCCACACCGTGCGCGACCACCTGGTGGGCCGCTGGATCCGCACGCAGCAGCACTACTATGAGAAGGACCCCAAGGTGCTGCTCGGGGCACCCCGGGCCGGGGGATGGGCTGGGGGCCCCGCTGGGGCCGGGAGACCGTGTCCGAGTGGCAGCCCCTTCCCTGGACCGGTTTTCTGTAGAAATTCCCTGAGGTCGGAGGATCCAGGGTCCTCGGTGCAGGGGGGCTGGGCGACCCAGGGGAGAAGCCCTCGCAGCAGCAGGTCAGGGGGCTCATGTCCGGTGGGCCGGTTGCCAAGGCCCAGCACCCACTCTGAGTGGAGGGACTACGGGGGTGGGGGGTGGGGGTCGGGGGGAGGACAGGAAGACCCTCGAGGCCTGGGCTGGTGGGTTGGACCTGAACTGAAAGACCAAGTCACTGGACGTGTGTGTGTGTGTGTGTGTGTGTGTGTGTGTGTGTGTGGTGTCTGGGCAGCAGGTGGTGGGCAGCTGGGGTGGTTGGGGCAATGGGATCAAGTGTCTTTGGGGTTAGTGGTAAATGTCAGCAACCTGATGCTTCGGAAAGGGGTGGGGGAGGGGCATGTGGGTGGGGCAGAGAGGGGACCCAGGAGACCAGGAGACCGGGCGCCATCCTGGATCCTGGTGCCTCTCGGTCCCTCGCTAGGACAGCCACGGGGAGCTGAGCGCCGCAAGGCCCGGACAGGCTGACTCCAGCCATGAGTCATCGCGTGACCTTGAGCCAATGACTCTCTCTGGGCTCGGCCTCCCCCCGTCAGGGAGCGCTTGGAAGTATTTCTCAACGTCCCGGCTCCCGGCCTGGCTGCTGGGAGGCTGGTGTGGGGCGGCCGGGTTCGCCCCTCGCCCGAGCACCTGGGCACCTGAGGGAGACACAGCCAACCCCCGCGTTCCAGACGGGAAGAGGGACGTGTCCAAAGTCAGAGGAAGTGCTGGCATCAGAACCTTCCTGCTGGGTCTCAGAGCCTGCGATGGGAAGACGGAGACGGGGCTGGGACACGCTGGGACCCGAGTGGGGCCGGGGCGGGGAGGGGTAGGCCTGCAGGGCCTGCCTAATGCTGGGGAGCAGTCTTAACCCCACCCCCACGCGTCTGTGTCTCGGGCAGAGGATCTACTACCTGTCTCTGGAGTTCTACATGGGCCGGACGCTGCAGAACACCATGGTGAACCTGGCCTTGGAGAACGCCTGCGACGAGGCTGTTTACCAGGTCTGGGGGGGCCGGGGGCGGGGCAGACCCGGGGTGTGGGGGCCTCCCCGGCTGGCCCTCGGCCCTGACTGCCGCCCCCCCCTGCCCCCCCCAGCTGGGCCTGGACATGGAGGAGCTGGAGGAGATCGAGGAGGACGCCGGGCTGGGCAACGGGGGCTTGGGCCGGCTGGCAGGTGAGCGAGGGCCGCAGGGGGCGGGTGGCACGGGGGCTTGGGCCGGCTGGCAGGTGAGCGAGGGCCGCGGGGGGTGGGTGGCAAGGGGGCTTGGGCCGGCTGGCAGGTGCGTGAGGGCCACAGGGGGCGGGTGGCACAGGATGCTTTGTGACGGGACCCTGACACCCGCCTCCCTGCCCGCCCCTAGCCTGCTTTCTGGACTCCATGGCGACCCTGGGCCTGGCGGCCTACGGCTACGGGATCCGCTACGAGTTTGGGATTTTTAACCAGAAGATCTGCGGGGGCTGGCAGGTGAGCAGCTTTGGGCCCCGACTTCCTGGGGACCAAGCAGTGAGGGAGGGGACCCCCATGGGTCACCCATCTCCGGAGAGACCAGAACAGCTGAGCCCCCTCTCGATGAAAAGCACCCTGCCCCTTGGCCATGACCCCAATGCCAGCTGCTCACTCCTGAGCAGGTGGGTCGCACCCGCAGCCCGGCCAGAGCCCTTATTTACCCCCGTCCGGCCCCGCACGGCCCTGCTCCTGCGCCTCCCCCCTCCCGCTGCCGCCGCGGGGCGGGTCTGGGCTGACGCTGCCTCCCTCCCCCCAATCTGCCTGCTCAGATGGAGGAGGCTGATGACTGGCTTCGCTACGGCAACCCCTGGGAGAAGGCCCGTCCGGAGTTCACGCTGCCTGTGCACTTCTACGGCCGGGTGGAGCACTCCAGCCAGGGCGTCAAGTGGGTGGACACACAGGTGAGGACCGCCGGGGACGGTGCGCCCGGCTGGCTGCTCCGGGGCCCGCCCTTCCCGGAGCTACAGCCCCGCCCGGCTCCCGGCAGCTCCTTCGTGCTGGGGAGGGAGGAGCCGAGGTGCCCCAGCCCCATGGTGCTAAGCAGGTATGGGCAGAAATCCATGACCGGGAATCGAACCCGGGACTCCGGTGTGCAGGACAATGCTCCTACCGACTGCGCCACCCCGGCCAGGGCCAGTCACTGTGCTTGCTAGTGGTGGGAGGCGGGCCAGCAGCAGTCACTGTGGTCAGCGGGGCGTCAGCTCCTGGGGTGGCCTTGGCCTCTGTGACTCCTCCTGTCAGGCCCGGGGACCCCACAGCCCTTTCCTGCATCCAGTATGTCCTCAAGGTGTGCGCAGGCCGGGGGGCCAGCCCTGTCCTCACTGCAGGGCCACCGGCAGCGCCCACCGCTGCCCCTTCCTCCCATAATCCCTACAGCACCCGCCAGGCGGCCGGGGGGAGGGGGGTTAGGGTGTCCTCTCTGTGAGTGAGGCCGGGCGGCCGGGGTGAGGGGGGGTTGGGGTGTGAGTGAGGCCGGGCGGCCGGGGGGAAGGGAGTTGGGGTGTCCTCTCTGTGAGTGAGGCCGGGCGGCCGGGGGGAGGGGGCCTGGGCTGTCCTCTCTGTGAGGCCGGAGAGGGGAGGGCTGGCGGAGGTTACCCACCGTCGGGACTGGACCCTCGGGTGGGAGTCGGCAGTGCGGGGACCAAGCATGGAGCCCCGGCTCGGAGGGCCCCAGTGAGACGCGCCTCGCCGGCTCCCCACCCGCAGGTGGTGCTGGCCATGCCCTACGACACGCCGGTGCCCGGCTACCGCAACAACGTCGTCAACACCATGCGCCTGTGGTCCGCCAAGGCCCCCAACGACTTCAACCTCAAGGACTGTGAGTCCCGCCCCCCTCCAGCCCGCGCCGCCCCCACCTGCCCCTGCCCCTGCCCCTGACTCTGCCCCTGCCCCTGCCCCTGCCCTGCCCCTGCCCCTGCCCCTGACTCTGCTCCTGCCCCTGCCCCTGCCCCTGACTCTGCTCCTGCCCCTGCCCCTGCCCCTGCCTGACTCTGCCCCCTTCTGTCCCCCAGTCAACATCGGAGGCTACATCCAGGCCGTCCTGGACCGCAACCTGGCTGAGAACATCTCCCGTGTCCTGTACCCCAACGACAACGTAGGTCCCCCGGGCTGGGCAGGAGGGGGCCTCTCTGGGGCCCTCGTCACAGCCAGGCTTAGTGCTGGGTGTGTCCTGTGTGCCCCTCCCCGGTGCAGTGGGAGGATGCCCGAGTCCTGGGGCAGCGGGTGGGTGGGCACTGCCCCCATGGCTGCTTCTTGGAGGGGAGGACCCGCCCTGGAGCGGGGGCAGCCAGGACTCGGGGCCGGGTGTCTGCGGGTCTCTCCTGCCCTCACCCGCCGTCGCGGCCGGCCTGCCCCCGGCTCTGACTCCCTCCGCCTCGCCCGCCCCAGTTCTTCGAGGGCAAGGAGCTGCGGCTGAAGCAGGAGTACTTCGTGGTGGCCGCCACCCTCCAGGACATCATCCGCCGCTTCAAGTCCTCCAAGTTCGGCTGCCGCGACCCCGTGCGCACCAGCTTCGACGCCTTCCCGGACAAGGTACCCGCAGGCCGCAGGGAGGTGCCTACAGGCTGCAGGGAGATGCCAGCCAGGGAGGTACTGGCCAGGGAGGTGCCTACAGGCCGCAGGGAGATGCCAGCCAGGGAGGTGCCGGCCAGGGAGGTGCCTACAGGCCGCAGGGAGATGCCAGCCAGGGAGGTGCCGGCCAGGGAGGTGCCTACAGGCTGCAGGGAGATGCCAGCCAGGGAGGTACTGGCCAGGGAGGTGCCTACAGACTGCAGGGAGATGCCGGCCGGGGAGGTGCCGGCCAGGGAGGTGCCTACAGGCCGCAGGGAGGTGCCTCAGCCGCCCTGGGGTGCAGATGGGGCACGGAGGCTGGCGGCTGGTGTATGTGAGGTGACGGGCTCCGGGTCCTCGGTCCATAGGCACACATCTGGGCGTCACGGCTGCTCCCTGAGAGCCTCCCTCCACCCAGCTGAGCCCCAGTGCTGTGCGGGGGCCTCTGATGATGGGACAAAGGTTTGGAGCCCGGCCCGACTCCCTGCCCGCCCCCCTCCCAACAGGTGGCCATCCAGCTCAACGACACGCACCCCTCCCTGGCCATCCCCGAGCTGATGAGGATCCTGGTGGACCTGGAGCACCTGGACTGGGACAAGGTGGGCTGAACTCAGGACCCGCTGCCCCCGCCTGCCCCCTCTGCCTCAGCATCCCCTTTCCAGTCTGGGGGAGGGGGGAGAGTGGCAAGATGTGAGCGGAGCCCCCACGGGACAGACGGCAGGGGGAGGCCCGGAGGGTGGCTGTCCTCGCACCCCGCACCGCAGTGGCAGGGCGGGGCTCCTGGCTGCACAGTGTGTGCGGAGGGCCCCGGGGCTGAGGCCGGGACCCCGTCCTCCCTCCGCCCAGGCCTGGGAGGTGACGGTGAAGACCTGCGCCTACACCAACCACACCGTGCTGCCCGAGGCGCTGGAGCGCTGGCCCGTGCACCTCTTGGAGACGCTGCTGCCGCGGCACCTGCAGATCATCTACGAGATCAACCAGCGCTTCCTCAACGTGAGCGGCGCGGGGCGGCGGGGCCGGGCTCCGGGCAGGTCTGAGGGCGGCGGGCCGGGCTCCGGCGGGCCTAGCTCTGGCTCTCCCGGCACAGCGGGTGGCGGCCGCCTTCCCGGGGGACGTGGACCGGCTGCGGCGCATGTCCCTGGTGGAGGAGGGCGCGGTGAAGCGCATCAACATGGCGCACCTGTGCATCACCGGGTCCCATGCCGTCAACGGCGTGGCTCGCATCCACTCCGAGATCCTCAAGAAGACCATGTGAGAGCCGCCCTCCGGCCCCGCCCACCCACAGCCCCGCCCACCCACAGCCCCGCCCCCAAGCCCCGCCAGCCCCGCCCGCCCACAGCCACGCCCACCCACAGCCATGCCCACTCACAGCCCCGCCCATCAACAGCCCCGCCCATCAACAGCCCCGCCCCACAGCCATGCCCACTCACAACCCCGCCCGCCCAAGCCCCGCCCCACCCACAGCCCCCGCTCACTCAGCCACGCACACATTGGTCCGCCCATTTATAGGCCCGCCCACTCACAGCCACGCCCACCAAAGCCCCGCCCACCCACACTTACAGCCTCGCCCACCCAACAGCCTCACCCACTCACACCCCCCACAGCCACGCCCACTAGCAATGCGCACGTTGGTCCGCCCACTTATAGAGCCGCCCACTAACAGCCACGCCCTAAAAGCCACGCCCACGTGTAGATCCGCCCACCTATAACCACACCCATCCACGGCCCCGCCCACTTAGCCACGCCCATCTATGGCCCGCCCCTCACTGCACAGCACAGCTGGCCCTTCCACAGGTAGCATCGCTCTCACAAGCTCCCACAGCGCGGACATGGGATCTAGTCCTGTCCCCAGATGGCCCTCTCGCACACAGCAGCACCTCAGACCCCCAGGCCTCTTTCATCCAGAACCCAGGATGGGGCCCCAAAGGAGGCCTCATCCCACAGGGGTGAGGGGTGACCGTCCCCCGTCCCCCCAATTCTGCAGCTTCAAGGACTTCTATGAGCTGGAGCCTCATAAGTTCCAGAACAAGACCAATGGTATCACCCCTCGGCGCTGGCTGGTTATGTGTAACCCTGGGCTGGCAGAGGTCATTGCTGAGGTGAGAGGTCACTGCGCGGCCAGGAAGGGTCAACACGGGCTCCTGCGGGGACCAGCTGGGTGTGGCCATGTAGGCGGTGATGGGGGCGGTGTCCAGTGCAGGGCCGACATCCCTGTTGCGCGCACGCAGGGAGGAGCGGACCCACTTCCTTACTTGCATGAGGATGTCCTAAGGGCTGGAGAGGCCCTGGCTCTGAAAGTCACCCGGAGTTTACAGTTTCCTGGAGGGTCACCAATAGGTCACCAATAGGTCACCCCCGAAGTGGCCTGGAGGGTCACCAATAGGTCACCCCCGAAGTGGCCTGGAAGGGGACAGAGATTGGGAGCAGGAAGGCGAGTCATTGCCCGTATGAGGAACTGGCCAGGAGGAAGGCCTGTGGGGTCAGCTCAAGGCCAGGCAGGGAGGAAGATGGACAGTTACAGGTCACCGGGGGGAAGCTGGCGAGGGAGGCTTGTCTGGCCTGTAAGGAGGACGAGGAGAGGAAGGAGCCTGACCGGGAGCCCTCTTCCCGCAGCGCATCGGGGAGGATTACATCTCAGACCTGGACCAGCTTCGCAAACTGCTCTCCTATGTGGACGATGAAGCCTTCATCCGGGATGTGGCCAAAGTGAAGCAGGTGAGGAGCATGGCAGCCTGGGCCCGCCCGCTTACAGGTCAGGCCGGGCGTGCCAGGCTTGGAGCCCAGACCCTTCCAGGCATGGCCAATGGGCATCTCTCCTGCAACCGCAGGCCGCTGGTAGAAGTTGCGTGAAGTCCGTGGTAGGCAGGCATCCATGACCTCCCTGGAAGAGCGCTGACATTGACTAGCAACGTCTGCCCCGGTGCAGGCCTGGACGAGGTGGACCTCGGGGAAAGAAGTGAGACTGTAGGGTCTCCGAGGCGGAGGCCTGTCGGTGAGCTCTCCCCTCCCCTGCCTTCAGGAGAACAAGCTGAAGTTCTCGGCGTATCTGGAGAACGAGTACAAACTCCGGATCAACCCCAACTCGCTCTTCGACGTCCAGGTGAAGCGGATCCATGAATACAAACGCCAGCTCCTCAACTGCCTGCACATCATCACCCTGTACAACCGTGAGGCTCCGGGCTCTCCGGGCATCGCCCCCCAGCAGACAACAACTCCTCTGGCCTTGGGGCAGCTCCTGGGACATGGGATTATTCCCATTTTACAAATGGGCAAGCTGAGGCTCAGAGAGGGGAAAGGGACAGATCTGAGGTCACATAGCAAGTGACTGCTCAAGCCAAGGCCTACCTACTTTCTCCCCGCGTGGGCCTTGGCGGATGGGGACTGTCAGGAGCTACCCCCCAGAGGGAACTGGCCACTTCACCCCTCTTTCTCCACAGGCATCAAGAAGGAACCCAACAAGTTCGTTGTGCCCCGCACGGTGATGATTGGAGGGAAGGTGAGAAGCTGGGCCCCAGGCCAGGTCTCTGGTCTTTGGATATCCGGGTTGAGGTCAGCCTTGGCTGGGTTGCAGGATGGGGGTAGGGGCTTTAGCCATGGAGCTGACTCCAGATGGTGCCCCCGCAGGCTGCCCCTGGGTACCACATGGCCAAGATGATCATCAAACTCATCACGTCCATCGGGGATGTGGTCAACCATGACCCGGTGGTGGGAGACCGGCTCCGCGTGATCTTTCTGGAGAACTACAGGGTCTCGCTGGCCGAGAAAGGTGGGGTGCCACACTGATGGGGACCCTCGGGAAGCTCCCATTAGTTTGGTGCATGGAAGAGGCCTCTTCCTGAGGGACTTGCACTTTCAAGAAGAATCTGGAGAGGGCATTAACTACACCATGAGGGTGTCCCCTTAAACCATGAGGGTGTCCCCTTACACCATGAGGGTGTCCCCTGGGCTTCCTGGCAGCATGGGTAAAATTATAGGGGAGATGGGCCTGGTTTGTGTTTGTAAAGTCACACAATGGATCTGGGTTAGATCCCAGATGTTCAAGGATCATCAAGAGGTTGGAGGCGGAGAAGGAGACTCAGTGGTTGAGGATTGGAGGGTTGAGGACTGGAGGGGCTTTGAACCTGGCTGTGCCTAGGACCAGCTCTCCCCACAGCTGACCCTGTTCTGCTGTTGCCTCACAGTGATCCCGGCCGCCGACCTCTCTGAGCAGATCTCCACTGCGGGCACTGAGGCCTCAGGCACTGGCAACATGAAGTTCATGCTCAACGGGGCTCTGACCATCGGCACTATGGACGGGGCCAACGTGGAGATGGCAGAAGAGGCGGGAGAGGAGAACTTCTTTATCTTCGGCATGCGGGAGGAGGACGTGGCCAAGCTTGACCAGAAGGGGTAGGGGGGCTAGAGCCCTTGCTTAAGAGTCTGTGGGCAGCAGGCACCAAGGTGTGGCTGCTGGAGGGTAGGGCTGGGAGCAAAGGTCATGGAGAGGCCAGTGCAGGCTGCCCAAGGTCGTAGTTATGCCAACAGAATTCTGGAAAACTGTTGAGGTAACTTACCAAAGAAAAGGTTAATGAAACAGGAAAAGAAAGAAGTAACGCAGAACTGAAGGAAAAGGAAGAGGAAATTATATCAATCCTAAGAGATAATATTATTATATTTCTGGAATGGGAAGTAAACTAAATTCTTAGTTCCCTGGCAGCCAGGGCACAAAGGGAAATCTATAATAATAAAAGCGTAATATGCTAAGTAGAACGGATGACCTTCCGGATGAAGGCGGAGCTGAGAGGGAAGCCCAGGTCCCGGGTGCCAGAGGGAAGCGGGTGCCGGCAGCCGGGGGAAGGAAGGCGGCTCTTGCACAGATTTCGTGCACCGGGCCGCTAGTAAGAATGTAAACGTTAACTGTGCTTATGGCCAGAAGCATAGTTCTTTAGAGGAGACATTTCCCTGGCATTATGTTTTTAAAATTTATTTTTAAATATGATTTTTTTTCTTATAAAAGCAACAATGGAAAAATACAAGACCACAAAAAACAAAATAACTGTCACCCATAATTTCATCACCAGATTTAAAGTCACAGTTCTCTTTTTCTATGCACTCTGGTATTTATATATGTGTGTGTATGTGTAGGGTATTTTTTGTTTTATTTTTCTTTCTTTTGTATGTGTAATTTTTGAAAGTTAGGAATAACATATATATGTAATTTTGAATCCTGATATCTTATTTAAAGGTGGAAAGGCATTTTCTATGTCATTAAATAGTCTTCAAAAATATTTTATTTTATTTTTATTATTATTTTTAAATATATATATTTTATTGATTTTTTACAGAGAGGAAGGGAGAGGGATAGAGAGTTAGAAACATCAATGAGAGAGAAACATCGACCAACTGCCTCTTGCACACCTCCTACTAGGGATGTGCCCACAATCAAGGCACATGCCCTTGACCGGAATCGAACCTGGAACCCTTCAGTCTACAGGCCGACGCTCTATCCACTGAGCCAAACCGGTCAGGGCTTCAAAAATATTTTAAACGACTGTGTAGTGCTCTATCCTGTGGACATGTCATCACTTATTCAACCATTCCATCTAGATAGACATTAAAGACGATATTCTCTGTTGGTGTGCATACCACTGTAGTGACCAACCTTAGCCATCATCGCCATCGGTTCCTTAAGATAAATTACTAGAGGGGATATGTCTGAGCCACATTGTTTTCCAGAAAGTTGGTACCAGTTCACACCCCTACCAACAGCGTAGGAGAGCTGGCATTCAATATTGAAAGGTGCTGGGACCGGTTTGGCTCAATGGATAGAGTGTCGGCTTGGGGACTGAAGGGTCCCGGGTTCGATTCCGGTCAAGGGCATGTACCTTGGCTGCAGGCAGATCCCCAGTAGTGGGTCTGCAAGAGGCAGCTGATCGATGACACTCTCTCTCATCGATGTTTCTAACTCTCTATCTCTCTCCCTTCCTCTCTGTACAAAATCAATAAAGTATATTTAAAAAAAAAAAAGTAAAAAAAAAAATATTGAAAGGCATTTCCCTGTGAAGCCTGACTCGGAGGCTCAGACATGGTCCTTTGGCCCAGAGGGAGACGTGACACATGACATGTGTGCCACTAGGCTCCAGAAGGACAGGACGGCTGCAGGATGGAGAATGGACTGGAGGGAGAGAAGTGCAGGCGGGGGCTGGTGTGGGCACTCACGCGGCAAAGCAGGGAGGGGGTAGGGAGCAGGGACATCGCTGAGGAGCTGGCCTCAGTTTCTGGTTGGAAGAGGGGTGGGGAGGGAAGAGAGAAGCCTGGCCTTGGGGATACTTGTGAGTCCTCGTGGCTGAGAGATGGAAGTGGGGCACTTGAGAGAGCAGAGAAAAGAGACATTCATGGAAGAAGCACGCTGTCAGGAGATGGTAGTGTGTGTGACACTTCTTTCTGCCCTCCCAGGCCTCGGTTTCCTCATCCCCATAAAAGGTGATGAAAAGCTGAGCACAGAAGGCAGAGGGCCTCCAGGGAAGGAATCCAGTGGCAGCCGCAGGGAGGGGGGGAGCAGGCTGGCCCTGGCCTCAGGACTTGGGGTTTTCTCTGGAGGAAGAGCCGCCCCCCCCCCCTCCTGGGTGCTGACCGCGGCTCCCCCTGCAGGTACAACGCCCAGGAGTACTACGACCGCAGCCCTGAGCTTCGCCAGGTCATCGAACAGCTGAGCAGCGGCTTCTTCTCCCCCAAGCAGCCAGACCTGTTCAAGGACATTGTCAACATGCTCATGCACCACGACCGGTGAGCCAGCCGCTGGGGGGCCTGGCAGGGGGCGCTGCTGGGCTGGGCAGGGCTGGGTGTGTTAGGGGGCTGGATGGGGCTCCTGGCAGATGGGGCCGGCTCCCCGGGGAGCAGCATCCCTCTCCTCCGGGACCCCCAGGCGTCCACCGGGACAGGATGGGCTGGGCCTTGACCTCAGGGAGCTCCCTGCCTGCCCGTTCCCCTCCAGGTTTAAAGTCTTTGCAGATTATGAGGACTACATTAAATGCCAGGAGAAAGTCAGTGCCCTGTACAAGGTAAGGGGTCCTGGGCCAGAGGCTGGCAGGGCTGGGGGGAGGCGGGAGGTGGGGACCCCGCCGGCAGAGTGACCCCAGTGTTTCCCTTTGGCCTGTAGAACCCGAGAGAGTGGACGCGGATGGTGATCCGGAACATAGCCACCTCTGGCAAGTTCTCCAGCGACCGCACCATTGCCCAGTACGCCCGGGAGATCTGGGGCGTGGAACCCTCCCGCCAGCCCCTCCCGGCCCCCGATGATCTGGCCTGAGCCTCCAGACCGGACCCCCAACCTGCCCGCCCCCCCCGGCCCCCCCCCCCCGCCCCTGCCAGTCTGTTTGCAACCCCTTGGGCCAGCCCCAGCGCCTCACCCCGAGACTGGGCACTGGAGGTAGATCTCTAAGCCTCTTTCTGCAACCCTCACTCACTCCCAGCCTGAGGTCACACCCTCCATTGTGACTGAGGACACTGCTCCATCCTGTCTTCCTCGGGCTTCCTGCCCCCTCCTATTTATGGGTCTGACCAACCGTCCGCCCTCCTTCCCCCCCAATAAACTGACTCTCCTTGGGAGCCTCCTTTGCCTCTCTGGTGGGGGATATTTTTAGCTCTGGGTGGGCCCCGCGGCAGCTGCGCAGTCACCGTGGCTTACCCCCACCCGCCGCAGGTGCTCCCCTCGGAGGGAGGGGGCGCCCATGGGGGCCGGGCCTGGGACTCTCCAGCCCTTTCCCCACGTCACCCTCCACGCCCCTCTTCCCAGGACTGTGTCCATACTAGGGCAGCGGCCTGCCCGGCTGCCGGGGGCGGGGCGCCTGCCGGGTGGGGCCCCCCCGGGCCTAGGAGTCAGGGACTCGGGCTGAGGCTGGGGGGCTGGGGAAGATCCCCGCAGTCGGAGTGAAGTCAGGGAGGGGAGGGACCTGCGGAGGTCGGTGCGGTCTGGACTCCGCCCCCAGCCCCGCCCCACTGCGGCGTTTGTAGGGTCTCTGAGCCGGTGGCTCTGCTTGCACGGAGGCCGGGGAGGGTTTTGGGGGGGATGCTCACAGGCCGCCCAGGCTGGCCCCTGTCCCCCCACCTCGCTCTGGGGGACAGGCCAGAGGGGGCTGCTCTAGGCCTCACGTTACCCAGGCTGAAGTGGGGGGAGGTCCTGACTCCCCGGCCCGTCAGGGAGGGGCGGCGGCGGAGGCAGTTTGGGGCGGGTGGTTTCAGTGTGTGTGTGTGTGTGAACCCACAGTCAGGAAACCGTTACCGGTTCCCCTGGGCCCGGCTGGTGGGGACCCCAACCGCCGGCGGCTGCCCCTCCCCAGCGCCTCCTGCCCAGCCTCCGGCTCCGAGCTGCGGAGAGCCCACCATCTGGCCCCAGGCTTCCGGGGCGCAGGCCCGCCCGTGTGAGCCGGGGCGCCCTCACACCCCCAGACTCCGAGGTCTCGCCTCCAGGTAGCGGCGTTTCCTCCCCGCCCCCAGGCCCTCCCCTGCCCAAACGCTGCCGCCCGCCTGCCCCTCCCCGGCCGCCGCCGGGCCCGCGCCCCCATCGCCGCCACCGGCCGGGCCCGCGCCCCCATCGCCGCCACCGGCCGGGCCCCGCGCCCCCATCGCCGTCACCGGCCGGGCCCCGCGGCCGCAGGAAGGCGCTCGGCCCCGGGTCGGGGCGGCCCCGTGGGAACGGTTTGTTTCGAAAACAGGAACCGGGCCGGGGGCTGGGCGGGGCGCCCCTTCCCCACCGCAATCCGCTTCCTGCCCCTCCCGGCTTCCTCTGGCCGCGCGGGCGGGGCGGGGGGCGCGGGCGCGGGGCCGGGGGAGAGGCCCCGCTCCGGTCCGCCCTCCGCCTCCCGCCGCCCCCTCCCGCCCTCCGCGCCGCCGGTGGCGCAGCCCCCGCCCGGCCGGCCCGGCGGGAGGGGTTCACGCCCGGGGACCGCGTGCGGGCGAGGGAGCCCGGGAGGCGGGTGCGGAGTCCCGCGCGGGGCGGGGCGGGCGGGGCGGCCGGGCCGGGGGCGGGGCGGGCGGCGGGGAGCGGGGAGCGGGCGGGAGCCGCGGCCGCAGCCGGGCGGGCGGCGGGCGGAGCGCGCGGAGGGGGCGCCTCCCGGCCGGTGCGTCCTCCCGGCCCGGGTCCCACAGTGAGTGGCGCGGGCGGGGCGCCCGGAGGGACCGGGCTCAGGCCGCGGGCGGGGGGCCGGCGGGGGAGCCTGCGGGGGTGTCTGTGGGTGGGGAGCCTGCGGGGGTGTCTGTCTGGGGGGGAGCTGCGGTGTGTCTGTCTGGGGGGGAGCTGCGAGGGTGTCTGTCTGGGGGGGAGCTGCGGGGGTGTCTGGGGGGGGAGCTGCGGGGTGTCTGGGGGGGGGAGCTGCGGGGTGTCTGTGGGTGGGGAGCTGCGGGGTGTCTGTGTGGGGAGCTGCGGGGAGTCTGTGTGGGGAGCTGCGGGGTGTCTGTGTGGGGAGCTGCGGGGTGTCTGTGTGGGGAGCCTGCGGAGGGTGCCGGCGGGAGCTGCCGAGAGCCCAGGCGCCGGACACCCGGGAGGGGGCGGCATCGCGGCGCCCGGCCCTCCCAGCCCGGGCTCAGCGGGACCCTCCCCGCGGACACCCCATTTGACATAGGAGGAAACTGAGGCTCCGAGAGGCCGAGAGACTCTCAAGGTCACACAGCGAGGAGGGGGGCTCTGGGCGGGGCCTGGGGAAAGTCTGACCGAGAACTCCTGGGGGGCCCCCAGCCGGGGGACCAGCCGGGGCGCGGGCCCTTTCGGAGGCACAAAGCCCGCCGCCCGGAGGCGCTGGGGGTGGAGGAGAGGGTGGCCCGGGCCGCAGAGGAAGGGGTGGCGGTGAAATGGGCGTGTGTGCGCCCCCGGGGGCGTGTGCATTGTGCACGAGTGTGCATGCGTGGAGGTGCGTGTCTGGCGTGTGCGCACACGTGTGCCGTGTCCGCGCTGAGGTGGCTGCGGAGCTGCCCGGGAGGGGTCTGCATTCTGAGTGAGGGCTGGGTTTGGCGCCTGAGGGTGTGGGTGCCATTGTGTGCGGGACGCCGAGGACGACAGGCGGCTGCCTGAGGCCCGGGTGCGTGCGAGCGGGGGCGTCCTGCACCCCAATGCGGGTCCCTCGCCTCAGGTGCGGATGAGTGTGTCCCCGGTGGGTGCGTATGGAGTTGCCGGTGGTGCACACGGTCACGCTCCAGCCCCGCGGCGATGGCGCCCCCTTCCGGGCGTCCTGCTCTGCAGGACGTGCGCTCCCCGCTCCGCTGCGCAGTGTGGGCCGGGCCGGGCGGAGGGCGGCGGCGGGAAGGCTGAGCCGGGACCCCTGGGACCTTCCCGGAGGAGGTGGCCAGGGAGCGTTTCCCAGGCCCGGGCTTCCCGCCTCCGGCCGCCGCGGGCTCCCCACCCCGCCCTCGGAATGTCCTCCTCCCTCCCTCCTCCCCGGGCAGGCCCCTGGGGCCCGCAGCCCCGCCTCCCTCCCGGGAGCCCAGGACGCCTGGGTTCCTACCCCTCCCACCCCAGAAAGAAATTCCTCCGAGGTCCCCTCGGGCTCCGGTTCCCAAAATAACCTGCGGGGGAGGGAGGCGGTGAGGGGGAGCGAGAGCGCGCAGGCCGGGCGCCGCGGCTGCAGGTGCTCCGGGAGGGGAGAGGGCTCGGGGACAGGGGCGTGGGGGGGGGAGCACCCAAAGCCCCGGAGTCCCGGCTCGTCCCCATCCCCAGGGAGCCCCTGGGCCCTCTGGCGACGCTGAGGGGGGGCCGGAAGCCTCTGGGCCAGCCCGTGTCCCCACTGGGGGTTGCACCATCCCGGGCCAGACCGCTTAACCCGGGAGCGGCCGCGGCGACGACTCCGCCCCCGCCCGGCAGGGGGCGTGCCTGCCCCGCCCCGCCCGCCCCTGCCCACCGGGCTCCCCGGCCGCGCCTCCAGCCGCCCACTCCGCCTCTCCCGGACAGGGGTCCAGTCCGAGCCCGCGGAGGCTCCCGGAGCGGCCATGGCGGGCGCCCTGGACCTGGACAAGGGCTGCACGGTGGAGGAGCTGCTGCGCGGCTGCATCGAAGCCTTCGGTGAGTGTCCGCAGCCCGCGGGACACTGACCCCGGGCCGCTCCCAGGCCAGGCCCCGGCCCCGACCCCCTGGGTTCCGCATCCCGCATCCTCCTCCCGGACAGGCCCCATGGCTCAGAAAGAGAAAGTGTTTCTCTCCCTAGCAAGCCGCCTTGAAGGCAGGGGTGCGGGTCCCCAGACTCTGACACTCGGGGTGCGTTATCTGCCCCCCTCCCGCCCCGCGTCCCGCCCCCGGGGAATCCGGAGGAACCCTATCTCCGCCTGGGAGCTGTTTCCGGCTGATGCGGTGGCTTATCTGGCGAAGGGGTGCCCCTTCTCCCAAGCACTCAGGAAGTGACCTCTGGATTCTTGACCCTGGGGAACCCAGGCTCCTTCCGGCCCAGCTGGTTCCCCTCCTCCATCCAGTTCCTCCGATCCTGCCTCGTATCTCTCCCACCCTACCTCCTCCTGCTAACCTGCCTCCTGGTCTCGGAATCCCGGGAAGCAGGAGGTGTGGGTGTGGGTGGGGGGGGGGGAGGGAGAAGACACCCCTCTGGATGAGCTGGGGTTTGGAGACCAGGCTGCTGGACAGAGAGTCACCGCTTCTCTCTGCCCCGGAGGCAGACGACTCGGGGAAGGTGCGGGACCCGCAGCTGGTGCGCATGTTTCTCATGATGCACCCCTGGTACATCCCTTCGTCCCAGCTGGCAGCCAAGCTGCTCCACGTATATCCTTCCGGCTCACCCGCAGCCAGGCCCCGGCCAGCCGGCCACTGCCGGGGGCTTCACTAGAGGCGGCCGCCAGCGTCCCGGAGTTCAGGCTTGGCCCAGCCTCCCTAAGGCCCGGGCAGTCTGACTGCCCCCCCAACCTGGCCCTGCCTCCCCGCTCCCTGCCGTCTGGGGAGACCTGGCAGCTTGGTCTGCCTCTTGCCTCTCCCAGAGCCCAGGCCCTGCTCTCAGCTGCCCCCAGTACCTAGCCCCTTCCCTCTCACCCCCGCCCCTGCTCGGCGCTCACCCCTCCCTGCAGCCTGTCCAGAGCCTCGGCCTGGGCCTGCCCACCGCTGCTCCAGGTCCCCCCCCCCCCCAGCGTTGCCCCTGGAGCCAGGCCCGTCCCCGCCTCCCTCTTCCTAGACGTAGGCTGCCCTCGGGTTTTCCTTAACCCTCTGTCACCTACCAACAATCCCGGAAGGACAACTCCAGCTCCCTGCAGGTGAAAACATGTCATCTGGTGAGGTGAGTCCTCCCTCCCGGGCACCTTCCCCTTCCGCCCTGCCCCGGGCCC